TGAGCTAATGAATAAAAAACAAACATGAATAGCTTTAGTAAACAAACAAAACGGTTACAAAAATCAACAATGGATGACATGACTTGATCAGCTGTAATGTAATTCTGACAAGTTCCAATTTCACTCTCAGCTGTAACTGCTTAGATTAACTGTTAAGTAGAATAGTCCTGTAATTTTGTGATATTTACACCTATAACATGGTCACTGTTACACCTGTAACCTGGCCACTGTCACACCTGTAACCTGGTCACTGTTACACCTGTAACCTGGGCACTGTTACACCTATAACCTGGGCACTGTTACACCTGTAACCTGGTCACTGTTACACCTGTAACCTGGGCACTGTTACACCTGTAACCTGGTCACTGTTACACCTGTAATCTGGTCATTGTTACACCTGTAACCTGGTCTTTGTTACACCTGAAATCTGGTCATTGTTACACCTGTAATCTGGTCATTGTTACACCTGTAACCTGGTCATTGTTAAACCTGTAATCTGGTCTTTGTTAAACCTGTGACCTGGTCTTTGTTACACCTGAAATCTGGTCATTGTTAAACCTGTAACCTGGTCTTTATTAAACCTGTTACCTGGTCACTGTTACACCTGTAACCTGGTCACTGTTACACCTGAAATCTGGTCATTGTTACACCTGTAACCTGGTCTTTGTTACACCTGAAATCTGGTCATTGTTACACCTATAACCTGGTCATTGTTAAACCTGTAATCTGGTCTTTGTTAAACCTGTGACCTGGTCTTTGTTACACCTGAAATCTGGTCATTGTTAAACCTGTAACCTGGTCTTTGTTAAACCTGTAACCTGGTCACTGTTACACCTGTAACCTAGCCATTGTTACATCTCTAACCTGGACTACAATAATTAGTCTGACTTAATTGAATGTTTTCAGTTCATCATACTCTAACTGAATCAACTGGAATGTATATATATACACATATTTCTATACTGTATGTATATGTAATACTATCCATCTGGCTTGATAATTGAAAAAAATACCTTTAAGAGCAGTACCAGTCAACTAATTATCAAACAGTACATCATCAGAATTTACAGATCAAAAGGAGAAAACCAACATCAGAGATGTTAGGAATGAAAAGTGTCAAATATGCCGTCTGCAGGTAAGTAGTCAATACATTTAGATATACATTTCATACAGGACATCGTTAATATTTCATTACTGAAGTGTACTACACCTGCTTTCCAATACTTAAGTCATACACTGACAACTGCAACATGTCCTACCAGTCATACAATGAAGACAGTGACATGTCCTACCAGTCATACAATGAAGACAGTGACATGTCCTACCAGTCATACAATGAAGACAGTGACATGTCCTACCAGTCATACAATGAAGACAGTGACATGTCCCACTGGTCATACGCTGAAGGCAGTGACATGTCCCACTGGTCATACGCTGAAGACAGTGACATGTCCCACTGGTCATACACTGAAGACAGTGACATGTCCCACTGGTCATACGCTGAAGGCAGTGACATGTCTCACTGGTCTTACACTGAAGACAGTGACATGTCCCATTGGTTATACACTGACAACTGCAACATGTCCCACTGGTCATACACTGAAGACAGTGACATGTCCTACCAGTCATACACTGAAGACAGTGACATGTCCCACTGGTCATACACTGAAGACAGTGACATGTCCCACTGGTCATACACTGAAGACAGCGACATGTCCCACTGGTCATACACTGAAGACAGTGACATGTCCCAATGGTCATACACTGAAGACAGTGACATGTCCTACCAGTCATACACTGAAGAAAGTGACATGTCCCACTGGTCATACGCTGAAGGCAGTGACGTGTCCCACTGGTCATACGCTGAAGACAGTGACATGTCCCACTGGTCATACACTGAAGACAGTGACATGTCCCACTGGTCATACACTGAAGACAGTGACATGTCCTACCAGTCATACACTGAAGAAAGTGACATGTCCCACTGGTCATACGCTGAAGGCAGTGACATGTCCCACTGGTCATACGCTGAAGATAGTGACATGTCCCACTGGTCATACACTGAAGACAGTGACGTCCCACTGGTCATACACTGAAGACAGTGACATGTCCCACCGGTCATACACTGAAGACAGTGACATGTCCTACCAGTCATACACTGAAGACAGTGACATGTCCTACCAGTCATATGCTGAAGACAGTGACATGTCCTACCAGTCATACACTGAAGAAAGTGACATGTCCCACTGGTCATACACTGAAGACAGTGACATGTCCCACTGGTCATACACTGAAGACAGTGACATGTCCCACTGGTCATACACTGAAGACAGTGACATGTCCTACCAGTCATACACTGAAGGCAGTGACATGTCCTACCAGTCATATGCTGAAGGCAGTGTCATGTCCTACCAGTCATATGCTGAAGGCAGTGACATGTCCTACCAGTCATATGCTGAAGGCAGTGACATGTCCTTCCAGTCATACGCTGAAGACAGCGTCATGTCCCATCATTTGGACACTGAAGACAAGTCCCCGAAGTCAAAGACTGACATATAGCATTTAAATGGTTCCTCAGTGAAAGATTTAAGACAGATGCCATACAATCACCTGATATTGCACTTGTGAGCTCAAATCACCAATTAATTATGCATTTTTTGTTTAATGAATACAATTTGCTAGTTTCATCAGTTTGATAGATATAAAAGAGTACAAAATTGTTTGTTTTACAAAGCAAACTTTTCATCATGATGTAGCAACAACGTTGTAAATTAGTGTATTATACTTAACAACTTCCATAAATTCATGATAATCTTTATCAAAACTGGCATGGGAGATAACTCAAACAGTGTTAGCATATTGTACAAACTGCATTGATAAAAACTACCCAGGTAATTTTGTATTCTATTTTGTTTTCACTCCTAAATTTTCTAAACTTATTGCAAATATAAGGTATTTCTTCCTGATCAATAACTTCTTTTGTGTCAGTATTCATAGTGAGTATAATGAATTTAAATGAAAAGGTATAACATTGTGTGTAAAAAGTAATACAAGGTGTGTTAAAACAAAAATGTCCAGCTGATACAAGGAGATTTCTGTGGAGCTATAATGATATATAATTGTATCTCAATGACTATCTAAATCCAGGAATGTTATTTATCTACACACTTTAAGTATCAGTGTGATAATTGATACATATCATTTAATCTAGCAAATTCTTCAATATGTAATAAAACAAATTGATCAAAGGGGAGACAACTTAATACAAAAAAAAATCTAGTTTGGTATACATTACAATAAATTCACAACCGTGTTTTTACAATAGACCTTGTAGTCCTTGCTCTCTTTTATAGTAATATCCATATTGGTACATAACTCTACAGGAAGATCAGTACATAACATCACATTTGTGAAAACATAAATTTCTAAGTGAATCACTTCATGGCATTAAGTCCACACTTAGGATTATGTCCAGGTTGTTACTGGCTTAGTCAATTAACTCATAAACTGAGACAAGTTTTGTTTAATACATTATTTCCTTACAAAACATTCATAATTAACCAAACCAAACAATGACCAAGGACTTTTTACTTACAACACAACAAAACATAAACCATTCTATTTATCTACATAGAAAAATCGAAATTGAGCATTTAATCAAAATGAAGACTTACTATGGAAATCACTGTGTACACCTAACCTGTATACACCTACACCTAACCTGTGCCCCTCTTAGTCAAGTTAGATGACCTGTGTCCCTCCAGCTACAGCTAGTTGTCTGAAGTCCTATATCTGTCTAACCAGTGCCCCTTCAGACTATCACCATACCAGAGCCAGTTCCATGTCTGCCATCTTCCATGTCTAACCTGAACACTTCCAGATCAGTAAAATGTCTGAAGACTTATATCTGTCTAACCTATGCCTCTTTAGGTTCAATTAAATAGGTGACATGTGCCTCTCCAGGTTTTGTACATGATACACAGCTGCAGCCTTGACAAATATTATTGTTTATGCTCCCTATATCTATATATATTATCAATTTTAAATTCTGTAATTCTTTTAAATATTCTGAGCTTACTCTACCAAGCTAAATAAAAATGGATAAATACACTTAACCAACAAAATTTCAAACAGTGATAAAATGCTCAATGTGTTAGTGGAATTCTTCTAATCCACAAGATATTAAAGCTGTATAAATACACATTTGCTTCTGTATCCCTGTATATATACCTGTGTACATCAGTGCATAGTTGTATATGCCTATGTATACTGATATATACACATGTATAGCTGTGTACCTGTATATACCTGTATGTACCAATATATACCTACATATACCTATGTACACCAGTATATACCTGTAGATACATATGTACACCTATCTATACCTATCTTTTATATAGCTAAACATACATGGGTATTCCAGTATATACTAGTGTATATCTGTTACATTTTGTACTTATCTTCACGTAATACAGAATTATCCTAGTTAATTAAGTCCTGATATTGAATGGTCCCTAGATACGGACGATGATTGAAGTACAAATGTACCAGTAGCTTGATATGAGTTTCTTAATCCAATCTTTGATCTTGTCTGCTAAATGTTCCTGCAATAATGTATATCATATGACAAGGAACCAAATGTTGAATGTCTTAAAACATGTACTACATGTAAACATTACTACAACTGATATCACATAGAACTACCTCAATGAATCCCTTTAGTTACAATTGTTGTTTATGATTAGGATTCCCCAGGTAGTATTTTTCGTATTTATGAATTCCATTGGTAATGATTTCTATGCTTTGGATCTCCATGGCGATGATTCCCATGACAACAATTCCCATGGTACTCATTCCCTTGGTAACTATTCCCATAGTAATAACCTGCACTAATGATTCCAGTGGCAACAACTCACAAGGTAATCATATTTTACCCTTCCTGCAGTTTTATTACTTGTTGCATATTAAAGAGAACATCTAACGCCTCATTGAAGGCATCACAAGATGACACAGCAGCCCTGTTTCTCATCACTCCCAACAGCCGGGGAGTGACCGGGAGCAGTGAAGCGCCGTATACCTTCTGAATGATTAGGATAAGACTTCATATTGTTATTGTGGCCGTTGCTGTCAGTATGATGATCAGAGTTGTCCCCCTTGGGCAGTGTGGAGCTGCTGTATTTCTTGCTGTTACTGTTGAGGCTGCTGAGGAACAGGTTCTGTACCTGTGTGTCAATTACACTGTTTTCCCGACTACGTGAATCAGACCTTTGTTTTTTCAAATCTGACAGAGTAATTGAAGGTGTTCCTGAAGGGTACCTGACCTTTGATCCTTGGCCAGGTTCTTCTTCACCTTCTTCGTTTATTTGTTGCTCCTCTTCTAAAGGTTCAGTCTTCTGCCGTAATGGTGGGCTCTGTTCTGACTTCCTTGTGAAACTGTGTCTTTTTGTTAACACTGGACCTCCCTGTGGACCTGACCCCTGTCCTGACTGCTGATTGGTTGTTGATTCTGGGGCAGAGGGTCTGTCTGCAGTTGAAGTTCGATGAACAGTTTTTGTTTCGTTAGGTGATTTCGATTTACTATTTCTGTGCTGTTGCCTGCGAATATCCATTGTATCTGAAATAATGCGCGAGTGCTCGACAGTGTCAGTGTTCCCATTGAGTGAAGTTTCCATGAAGGACTGGGGTTTACGCTTGTTGTCATCCACATCATCAATAATAAGCTGCACATCATCAATATTTGTTGAGGGAAGGTTTTCTTTTTCATCTTCCTACAATTTAAGTCAGAACCAACAGTTAGAGCATGTGACCATGTACAGTACATTACGACAATACAAATAGAAAAAAATGAGTTCACCATTTATCAAAATTAAAACATTCAACAATTCTGATAGTGTTGTTGTCCCTGAGTACCCTAGTTGTACCATAGATCTGATAGTGTTGTTGTCCCTAAGAACCCTAGTTGTACCATAGATCTGATAGTGTTGTTGTCCCTAAGAACCCTAGTTGTACCATAGATCTGATTGTGTTGTTGTCCCTGAGTACCCTAGTTAGCCATAGATCTGAGTTTGTACTTGTCCCAGCACCCTAGTTGTACCATAGATCTGATAGTGTTATTGTCCCTGAGTACCCTAGTTGTACCATGGATCTGATAGTGTTGTTGTCCCTAAGAGCCCTAGTTGTACCATGGATCTGATTGTGTTGTTTTCCCTAAGTACCCTAGTTTGCCATAGATCTGAGTGTGTTGTTGTCCCTAAGTACCCTAGTTGTACCATGGATCTGATTGTTTTGTTGTCCCTAAGTACCCTAGTTGTACCATAGATCTGAGTGTGTTGTTGTCCCTAAGTACCCTAGTTGTACCATAGATCTGATTGTGTTGTTGTCCCTAAGTACCCTAGTTGTACCATAGATCTGATTGTGTTGTTGTCCCTAAGTACCCTAGTTGTACCATAGATCTGATTGTGTTGTTGTCCCTAAGTACCCTAGTTGTACCATAGATCTGAGTGTGTTGTTGTCCCTAAGTACCCTAGTTGTACCATGGATCTGATAGTGTTGTTGTCCCTAAGAACCCTAGTTGTACCATGGATCTGATTGTGTTGTTGTCCCTAAGTACCCTAGTTGTACCATAGATCTGAGTGTGTTGTTGTCCCTAAGTACCCTAGTTGTACCATGGATCTGATTGTTTTGTTGTCCCTAAGTACCCTAGTTGTACCATAGATCTGAGTGTGTTGTTGTCCCTAAGTACCCTAGTTGTACCATAGATCTGATTGTGTTGTTGTCCCTAAGTACCCTAGTTGTACCGTGGATCTGATTGTGTTGTTGTCCCTAAGTACCCTAGTTGTACCATGGATCTGATAGTGTTGTTGTCCCTAAGTACCCTAGTTGTACCATGGATCTGATTGTGTTGTTGTCCCTAAGTACCCTAGTTGTACCGTGGATCTGATTGTGTTGTTGTCCCTAAGTACCCTAGTTTGCCATAGATCTGAGTGTGTACTTGTCCCTGCACCCTAGTTGTACCATAGATCTGATAGTGTTGTTGTCCCTAAGTACCCTAGTTGTACCATGAATCTGATAGTGTTGTTGTCCCTAAGAACCCTAGTTGTACCATAGATCTGATAGTGTTGTTGTCCCTAAGAACCCTAGTTGTACCATAGATCTGATTGTGTTGTTGTCCCTAAGTACCCTAGTTTGCCATAGATCTGAGTTTGTACTTGTCCCAGCACCCTAGTTGTACCATAGATCTGATAGTGTTATTGTGTTAGTTGTACCATGGATCTGATAGTGTTGTTGTACCCTAGTTGTACCATGGATCTGATTGTGTTGTTGTCCCTAAGTACCCTAGTTGTACCATAGATCTGATAGTGTTGTTGTCCCTAAGAACCCTAGTTGTACCATAGATCTGATTGTGTTGTTGTCCCTGAGTACCCTAGTTGTACCATAGATCCCAGCACCCTAGTTGTACCATAGATCTGATAGTGTTATTGTCCCTGAGTACCCTAGTTGTACCATGGATCTGATAGTGTTGTTGTCCCTAAGAACCCTAGTTGTACCATGGATCTGATTGTGTTGTTGTCCCTAAGTACCCTAGTTTGCCATAGATCTGAGTGTGTACTTGTCCCAGCACCCTAGTTGTACCATAGATCTGATAGTGTTATTGTCCCTGAGTACCCTAGTTGTACCATGGATCTGATAGTGTTGTTGTCCCTAAATACCCTAGTTGTACCATAGATCTGATAGTGTAGTTGTCCCTAAGTACCGTTGTTGTACCATAGATCTGATAGTGTTGTTGTCCCTGAGTACCCTAGTTGTATCATAGATCTGAGAGCATAGTTGTTCTAGCACCTAGTTATGACACACACTAATAGTGTAGTTTTTAACATTACCACAATATCCTCATCATTATCCTTCCTCCAGCCAAAGTGAAGTGCTTCCTCTTTGGCTTCTTTCATAAACAGCGGATTCTTCTCTCCACGCATGCTACTTCTCCTGATGGAGGCACTGCAACAGACAAAGAACAAGGTAAGAAAACTAATAAAATGATGAAGGGAGATAATCTGCAGACAAGGGGAGATTACCAACAAGACCACCTGAAAAAGTGCATGATTGAATTAGACATTCTAATCTACAGCTAATTTATGCAAAATTTGAACTCAATTAAAGTAAGAAATTATATGGGAAAGTCAATGCAACATTCTCTTTGAGGGCAAAATGAGTGAAAGATTTTATAACAAAATAATAACAATAATAAAAGAATTAAAGGAAAAACAGCATGTCAAAGGATGGTGAGAATGCGTGAGGAAAAGCAACATGTAACAGGAAAGGAAACTTTCACATATTGTATAAAAAATAGTTGTTAATTTGAATCAAAAAATGTAAAAACCTCATACACAATACTGACATATTAGAACATTGGACCAGCTTAGATGTTATGACATTAATACAACATTGGACCAGATCTAATGTTATAACATTAGTACAACATTGGACCAGTTCTAATGTTACAACATTAGTACAACATTGGACCAGATCTAATGTTATAACATTAGTACAACATTGGACCAGATCTAATGTTATAACATTAATACAACATTGGACCAGATCTAATGTTATAACATTAGTACAACATTGGACCAGATCTAATGTTATAACATTAGTACAACATTGGACCAGATCTAATGTTATAACATTAGTACAACATTGGACCAGATCTAATGTTATAACATTAGTACAACATTGGACCAGTTCTAATGTTATAACATTAGTACAACATTGGACCAGTTCTAATGTTATAACATTAGTACAACATTGGACCAGATCTAATGTTATAACATTAGTACAACATTGGACCAGTTCTAATGGTATGACATTAGTACAACATTGGACCAGTTCTAATGGTATGACATTAGTACAACATTGGATCAGTTCTAATGTTATAACATTAGTACATCATTGGACCACATCTAATGTTATAACATAAGTACAACATTGGACCAGATCTAATGTTATAACATTAGTACAACATTGGACCAGATCTAATGTTATAACATTAGTACAACATTGGACCAGATCTAATGTTATAACATTAGTACAACATTGGACCAGTTCTAATGTTATAACATTAGTACAACATTGGACCAGATCTAATGGTATGACATTAGTACAACATTGGACCAGTTCTAATGTTACAATATTAGTACAATTCTAGCTAGTGGACCATATCTATTTGTTAAATGCAACAAAATATAATGAACAAAAAGATAAAAGAAATACATGCACACAAAAGTATAGATTAAATATGAGTTGCTTTCTGACTGGTATAGCAAAATATTTATCTATAGGTATCAGACCTAGTATAACTGTACCTCTTACAGATTCCAAGAATATCTTTGTTAAAATTTGTTACATGAGAAATTGTTTCTCTTTTTTACATAATAATGTCTATATACTGGAAATCTAATTGCTATTTGATATATTACACATGAACTAGCATTGAATTTCATCTGATTTCTTACCTGCAACACCTATACCTTGTCATTCCCCAAACCGCATCCCTTTATTTATTTATAATTCTTACTTCCCAGGTGGCCTCCAGAAAGCGTATATGAAAATGTGTGGTTTTCATGTGTTTGAATGTGATAAGGAGACCTATAGAGGCTTCATTGTTTTAACATGTTCAATATTTCTCATAAAATTATCAAGTTGGCAGGTATCCCCACTACATCATTAAAGTGTGTAAGCTTGTAATGTAGGACTGTTTACAATAAGCAAAGAAACATAGGGTCTTTTTGTAGTGTACATGAATGCAATCAGTGCATGTTAATCATAGAGAGATTTGTGTACATTTTCCCTTCTATCACTAAATGTTACTTAGTTCATATCATCCTATTAAAATGCATTATCAAATACTAATGATCACAAAATAAACTACCTTCTTAAAGCTAAATAAATTTCAAATGTTTTGGGAACCCATATGGCATTGGAATGTTTACTTATCATGAAAAAAATTAACAAAAAAAAAAAAAAAAAAAATTATTATTGTTATATATTTTGTATATATAAATAAAACATGCAAGAATTTAGTATAAAACACTGATATATATAAAAATGTAATAACAAAAAACACAAAATCCCATTCTCAATAAATATGATACGTTAGTAACTTTGATAATGACAATCTTAAGCCGATTTCAATAACCCTAAAACCATGTATATTAATAATGAGCCAACCAGAACACTGCAAATCTATAGCTTAAGTATTCCACTAGGAGTTACTACCTGTGGTGCTGTTCTTGGGTCGTTCCCTTATGTCTGAAAGAAATAGCCCCTCTATTACATTATAAGAACACAGAAAAATGACATTTTGTTTTGTTGGCCCATAAATTGACTGTTTGATGTCTGATGTTTGATGTGGAGAAATCTAATTATCAACCAAAAGTAAAATAACAATCATTTTAAAAGTACTTGATTTTTAAAATTTTTTTTTGTACAAATCTACCCTTCATGTTTTTTTAATACATTTGTAACAATTTCTGCATACATGCCTATCTCTGTGCCTTGTGATAAGATGACAATGTTACAGAGATCAAGGGAGACAACCGATCATCATTGCCTGAAGAGATTTATCAGTATGGGTAGGATCAATATGATTATCTCTATTTTCCAGCTTTATGACACATTGGAGATCTAATATCCCATCAATGAGATCAATTACAGCTGCAAGCAGACACCACTACTAAGGTTTTATACAGAGAAACTCCATTCCATAACATTCTATAATCACTAAATCTTCTTTGCCAAACCAATTCAATCTTCAAAATTGCAATTTTATACCCCCCTTCAGTTTTCAACAATGGAGAGCATGGTAATCGTATACTTATGAATGATAGGGATACTTTAAATTAAAATGATACAATTAAAACATTGAAATATAATGTACTTACTTCAACATTGTTTAACCATGTTTAAATGAACATACAAGCATGGCAATGGATGTACATTGATCATTTAAAACAAAATTATGTAAAAGTTTTTATATTTTATAGAAACATGCAACAAAATTATAACAGGGAAACTAAATATAAAACACCAAAAACACATGCAAGAATCTGTTATCTAAAGTATTCTCTGCAAAACATCTTTAACAAAAAAAAAAAAAAAAATTTGCAAGACTTAAGTTTCTGTGGCAGGAAAGAGTTAATTGACAGAATAAACTAAACATGCATGCATGCATACTTCTAATATTTAAACTAAAATTGACAAAGTATTCAATTATGATCAGAAATGTCATTAATATTGCAAGCTGAAGGACACACCCTTATAATAAAACTTCCAACTTCCTACTTGTCTTCAGCTATCATCTACTTGATGTGAGATGTAGTCCAAACCGCCTGGGGTGAAGCATCCTTACTGACTAGCAATTACCTTAGATATTGCCATTTGACCTCTACAATTCCACAGAGTGCACATACAACCTAATTAAGTGGATGTTTTGACCTTTGACCCCACTGATGCCACCTTTAATCAATTTCTTCTTACATTGTGTTTTTGTCCCCCTTCTTATTTCTTTTTGGTTCTACAAACTATTCCAAGATTCTGAAAAAAATTACTTGTGCCGCATGTTATGTTTTCCCCTTATTGTATACAGTTGTAGACTTCATATTCATAAAATGATTAAAATCACACAATTGTTCAAAACCAATGTACTTAAACACTTCTTTTTCACCATGGTTTTTCACAGGACATGAATTGATATCTTTCTCCAGGAATCCTGAATTTCTAAAGGAGAAATTGGATTTAACATTTTGATGGTTTGGATGTGTTCAGTATCTATTTCTGAAACTATCAGACTAAAGCAGCTGGATGATCTTTTATACAAAACCTTGAAGCTAGTAGTCCATCTTCATGTGGCATGATATTTACAAAATCTAAATAAAAAATGATATATAGGGTTTGGTTTTGCAATGCAGTTCTTTGAATGATAATTAAAAAAAAATCACCTATACATTTGTAACAAAGTAAATGGAGACCAGTAATTAACATCTTCCTTAAATAACATGAGCAGATAAGTTCTAACATTATTTTTGAAGCCCTGAGATCAACTGTTTAAGTTATCCCATTAGGTTTTCCTAAATTATACATTCCCCTTTAGACAATCCCCTTTAGACAATCAATAGACATTGTGTTACATGCATTTTCTACACATGTACATGGTGCCAATATCTTAAGACATTACCAAATAACTTTGACCTTATTTACTGTGAATAAATACAGCTAGCACACAAAATCTTACATGGTATGTAATTATGTTTTTGTAGAATCAGGGATAAGACATCTTGTAACATTCACAGATACCTTAAAAAGAAAACCAAAAAATGAGGCACAGCCACAATGGGCTGGGTTGCGGGATTGTGATTTATATGTGGAATTTCTGAAAGATTCTTTAGTAGTTTCTGAGAAACTGTGATAACAACCAAAGAGAGGCAAAGGCTGCCATCTTGGATTTTCCACGACTAAGTTCCAAAGCTCGGAAAATCCAGAAAAATGTCCCCGAATGCATCCATAATAGGAGGTGCACATCTTCGACATATATATATATATATATATATAAACATCCTACAAAGTTTCAAGCTTCTATGTCAAAAACTCTAGGAGGAGTTGATTCTACAAAATTGGTAACCCTTTTCCCCATCTGCACTATGTGCAACCCTGCCAAAAAATACAACCCATCCACATTCACAGTAGTCTATTCACTTTCACAGTACACCCCAGTCACTTTCACAGCACAACCCATTCACTTTCACAGTACAACCCATTCACTTTGACAAAAAAAACATGAAAACTGCCTCAAACTGCTAGTCTGTTCATAACACATTAATAACTGTGGACCAAACACCAAAGTCTTGAAGGTGTATATCTCTGTCTACAAGAGTCGGACACATTGTGTATGGGTTCTTTTCTTGACAGTTGGTGTGAATACACACAGCAGTTATAGTGGCACATGTACAGCAATCAATGTCGTCAGGACATTTGTTTTGTATGTTCGACTTTAGGGTATTTATCCCTAGCTTAAATACTGGTCTGTCTGGTTAAAAGTCCAAATCCCCAGACCAATATATTGTAGCCAGTATCTATACAGGATTCTTTTCCCCTGAGCTGATCTGAGCTTGGCTGATAAGCACACAGACCATACTGAATCATCAGACACTCTATCACAACATCTTTCCTAGTCCAAGCAGTCCTGCTGGGACCAAGCGGGCCCTGGGGGCCTTAGAATTCTCTTTATCAGCCAAAGTTTGGGCACTAGCAAGAGGAAGACCATTGTAAAACCTATGATAATAATGCCTTTCCTATAACTGAGAATATGGGAAGATTCTATTCATACTGAAAATTGTCTTTAATATCTGAGTTTAAGTAAAAACTTGTTACAACCATGCATGTTTAACATATCTTTTTAAAGAAAATGGGTTTCAGTATAACATGTTTGACATCTATCATACTTATATCTTTGTAATACAGTATACCAGCCAGCAGAAGTCTCTACTAAATGAAATTATGGTAAAAGAATGGCAGCCTTATCCAATTTGATGTACATACTTAAATTACAACGACTAGCTCCATACAAACATCCAATCTGTCTATTTCCATAAATATACATAAAACTGGTTATATGTAATACTGATGTCTGTCTCACAGGTAACAACAACTAACAGAGAACTGGCAAGGCAAACTAAAGGAATCATTCACAAAGCAGTCCAATTATAGGAGTTATCTGCCCCTGTCTCAAGGGTAATCTCTATTGGTTCAAATAAAGCAGATTGTTCTGACTATAACTAAACACACATATACTGACTACTTTAGTTACTCAATGTATTAACAATAGTTACAGTTTTAATCTGACATGTATGAGAAAAACAAATTCATCTGAAAACTTTCTTTGATTGTTTTGATAAGTTCAGGATTTGAACTGCTTTGTTTGATGTTAAAAATGAACAGGAAAGGGCTTGACACCTCCAATCCAGTGTGGCAGTATAAACAGAATGGTCACTCTCCTTATTGTCTATTTCTCCTTTTTTTCATATTCTTTTAAAATGGTTTGTACATATCAGTCTGAAAGCCAACTGCTGACTTGAACAACATCAAATCTTACAACTTACATCAATTATTTTGAAAGTAAATGCACAAAAGAATACTTTCTCAATATATAGAGCTAAGTCCATGAATACCACCACCGCTGTAGGACTGTAGAGGCTGTACCTGTAGCTCAATGGCCTGTCTATATTGGTGTTTGATAAATATTACAAAAACTCTACTACCTTGCTTCCTACAAACTTAACTCTAAGTGACCTGCAATATATTTTCTTGTGAGCCATAAGGCATTTTAAATTCATGACACATGGTTCTAGTATCTTGCATTTATAAACTTCAATTTCAATAGAAGATTCTGATTTTTTTCCAAGAAAACTATGCATGTTTTGCTTACCTGACTGTATTTATCAAATGTACAACCAACGCTGTCTATATTGTCACTAAAGGGAGCAGAAAAAGTGGCCTTTATAGGCAGATGGTCTTTATATAGAGGTTACTCTACTGAAAGTAGTATTACACAGATACCCAAAATCAGTGGGCCTTATAGACAGGTATATAGGCTTGGCCTATATTGACAGGTATATGCTATATACAAATAACCTTTATTGACAGGTATTTGCAATAAAGAAATGGCCTTTATTGACAGGTATATGCTTTATAAAAATGGTCTTTATTGGCAGGTATATGCTTTATAGAAATGGCCTTTATTAAAAAGTATATGCTTTATAGAAATGGTCTTTATTGGCAGGTATATGCTTTATAGAAATGGTCTTTATTGGCAGGTATATGCTTTATAGAAATGGCCTTTATTAAAAGGTATATGCTTTATAGAAAAGGTCTTTATTGACAGGTATATGCTATTTATAGATGTCCTTTATTGACAGGTATATGCTATTTATAAATGTCCTTTATTGACAGGTATATGCTTTATAGAAATGGTCTTTACTGGCAGGTAAATGCTGTTTAGAGATGGTCTTTATTGACAGGTTAGATTGTACATAGCTTATTACTCTAAGTGTATATGTACACTATGATGATATATTATAGAAGAAACATTGACTTCCCATAAATTATCAAGCCAGTGACCTAGCAGATCTAATTTACAATAAATCCTTTTGTACAAAACTAGATGGAATAATTTGCTTGGTAAAAGAGATTTGATTGAATTACATCATGCCATTGAGCTGCAGGATATAGCAGGGTATGGGTAAATGATAAATGAGGGCCTCAGGTTAGGATGAACTTGCTTTAAGAAAACATGATATAATACAGGCTTCTTTTCTAATTAACCACATGAGATACTACTATCAATTAAGGTATTCATTACATTTGTCAGTCCATTTTTCATGAAAAGTTATTCATAGTTTTGTCTCAGTAATTAGAATATCTAATAACTATAGTAAAAGGCTTGAGATTTTGTTTTAGTGATAAAGAAAATGAATTCCCAATAGACTGCAGTTATTAAGGAATGAGACTGTCTCTATTGATCAGAGAACTGCTTGTTGACAGCTGTATCAACAGGCTGGTGTTTTACTTTCTTATTTAAGTGAACAAAAACACATAATGGGCTGTCATATTCAGAAAGGCAAGTTCATCCAAACCCGCGAGATGAGGGGGCAGACGAGGGGATACCTGTGTGGTTTGTCACTCAGAGAGGTACTGGAACTATATAATGATGCCGAACTATTAGAGAAGCTGAAAACAAAACACCAAAACCAAATTATTCAAGGGAGACTACTGGATTACACTAAAAAATACACAATAAACTATTATTTCCTATTTACAATTCAATTTTGTTATCTTTTCATCACATTAAACACCATTCATGTACAATAACACTTTCATCTTCTTAAAAACTTCCGTCACCTGCCACAATATTAAATAAATTTCCCTATACAATTACCCTTAACTTCCTATAGCAGAATCAAAATGGTATATGCTATTTAATGTATTCTTATAACATAATCTTTTATTTTCATTAATATTATTACATTTTCAAACATTCATTTATTATCATCATTGTTGTTCATATTGTTTCACACTAAAAGTTAAGTTCTCCAACTTTTTTGGAATCAAACCTCAACAAAAAGATGTTTACACTTGATGTCCAATAAATATCTGTTTTATTTGGATGTCTCTACAAAATAAATATCTGTTTTATTTGGATGTCTCTACAAAATAAATATAAGTTTTATTTGGATGTCTCTACACAATAAATATCTGTTTTATTTGGAAGTCTCTACACAATGAATATCTGTTTTATTTGGATGTCTCTACACAATAAATATCTGTTTTATTTGGATGTCTCTACACAATAAATATCTGTTTTATTTGGATGTCTATACACAATAAATATCTGTTTTATGATGTCTCTACACAATAAATATCTGTTTTATTTGGATGTCTCTACACAATAAATATCTGTTTTATTTGGATGTCTGTACACAATAAATATCTGTTTTATTTGGATGTCTGTACACAATAAATATCTGTTTTATTTGGATGTCTCTACACAATAAATATCTGTTTTATTTGGATGTCTCTACACAATAAATATCTGTTTTATTTGGATGTCTCTACACAATAAATATCTGTTTTATTTGGATGTCTCTACACAATAAATATCTGTTTTATTTGGATGTCTCTACACAATAAATATCTGTTTTATTTGGATGTCTCTACACAATGAATATCTGTTTTATTTGGATGTCTCTACACAATATCTGTTTTAATATCTGTTTTATTTGGATGTCTCTACACAATAAATATCTGTTTTATGGATGTCTCTACACAATAAATATCTGTTTTATTTGGATGTCTGTACACAATAAATATCTGTTTTATTTGGATGTCTCTACACAATAAATATCTGTTTTATTTGGATGTCTCTACACAATAAATATCTGTTTTATTTGGATGTCTCTATTTGGATGTCTCTACACAATAAATATCTGTTTTATTTGGATGTCTCTACACAATGAATATCTGTTTTATTTGGATGTCTCTACACAATAAATATCTGTTTTATTTGGATGTCTCTACACAATAAATATGGATGTTTTATATTTGGATGTCTCTACACAATAAATATCTGTTTTATTTGGATGTCTCTACACAATAAATATCTGTTTTATTTGGATGTCTCTACACAATAAATATCTGTTTTATTTGGATGTCTCTCTACACAATAAATATCTGTTTTATTTGGATGTCTCTACACAATAAATATCTGTTTTATTTGGATGTCTCTACACAATGAATATCTGTTTTATTTGGATGTCTCTACACAATAAATATCTGTCTACACAATAAATATCTGTTTTATTTGGATGTCTCTACACAATAAATATCTGTTTTATTTGGATGTCTCTACACAATGAATATCTGTTTTATTTGGATGTCTCTACACAATAAATATCTGTTTTATTTGGATGTCTCTACACAATAAATATCTGTTTTATTTGGATGTCTCTACACAATAAATATCTGTTTTATTTGGATGTCTACACAATAAATATCTGTTTTACTCTACACACAATACACAAAATATCTGTTTTATTTGGATGTCTCTACACAATAAATATCTGTTTTATTTGGATGTCTCTACACAATAAATATCTGTTTTATTTGGATGTCTCTACACAATAAATATCTGTTTTATTTGGATGTCTCTACACAATAAATATCAATAAATATCTGTTTTATTTGGATGTCTCTACACAATAAATATCTGTTTTATTTGGATGTCTCTACACAATGAATATCTGTTTTATTTGGATGTCTCTACACAATGAATATCTGTTTTATTTGGATGTCTCTACACAACAATATCTGTTTTAATGTCTCTACACAATAAATATCTGTTTTATTTGGATGTCTCTACACAATAAATATCTGTTTTATTTGGATGTCTCTACACAATAAATATCTGTTTTATTTGGATGTCTCTACACAATAAATATCTGTTTTATTTGGATGTCTCTACACAATGAATATCTGTTTTATTTGGATGTCTCTACACAATAAATATCTGTTTTATTTGGATGTCTCTACACAATAAATATCTGTTTTATTTGGATGTCTCTACACAATAAATATCTGTTTTATTTGGATGTCTCTACACAATGAATATCTGTTTTATTTGGATGTCTCTACACAATAAATATCTGTTTTATTTGGATGTCTCTACACAATAAATATCTGTTTTATTTGATTTACACAATAAATATCTGTTTTATTTGGATGGATGTCTCTACACAATAAATATCTGTTTTATTTGGATGTCTCTACACAATGAATATCTGTTTTATTTGGATGTCTCTACACAATAAATATCTGTTTTATTTGGATGTCTCTACACAATAAATATCTGTTTTATTTTGATGTCTCTACACAATAAATATCTGTTTTATTTGGATGTCTCTACACAATAAATATCTGTTTTATTTGGATGTCTCTACACAATGAATATCTGTTTTATTTGGATGTCTCTACACAATAAATATCTGTTTTATTTGGATGTCTCTACACAATAAATATCTGTTTTATTTGGATGTCTCTACACAATAAATATCTGTTTTATTTGGATGTCTCTACACAATGAATATCTGTTTTATTTGGATGTCTCTACACAATAAATATCTGTTTTATGATGTCTCTACACAATGAATATCTGTTTTATTTGGATGTCTCTACACAATAAATATCTGTTTTATTTGGATGTCTCTACACAATAGATATCTGTTTTATTTGGATGTCTCTACACAATAAATATCTGTTTTATTTGGATGTCTCTACACAATAAATATCTGTTTTATTTGGATGTCTCTACACAATAAATATCTGTTTTATTTGGATGTCTCTACACAATAAATATGTTTTATTTGGATGTCTCCACACAATAAATATCTGTTTTATTTGGATGTCTCTACACAATAAATATCTGTTTTATTTTGATGTCACTACAAAATAAATATCTGTTTTATTTTGATACACATTCTAAAAATAGTAAAACAAACTTCTGACTCATCAGCAGATCAATAAAACTTATTTTAACACAAAATCTAAATGTAAAACTGGTTTCTTCTGACACAAACTCTTAAGTAAAAAACTGGTTTATTTTTAAACAAATTCTAAGTGTATAACTGGGTTTTTTTCTGATACAAACTCTAGGTATAAAACTGCTTTATTTTGACAATGATTCTACAATATGATATGTTGATTTATTTGAAAAAAAAAAACAAAAACATAAAATCTAAAGATTAAACCCTGTCACTCTCCAGGTTTATTTTGTCACTCTCAGGTAAAAATCCCTGGTTTATTTTGTCACTCTCAGGTAAAAATCCCTGATTTATTTTGTCACTCTCAGGTAAAAATCCCTGGTTTATATTGTCACTCTCAGGTAAAAATCCCTGGTTTTATTTTGTCACTCTCAGGTAAAAATCCCTGGTTTATATTGTCACTCTCAGGTAAAAATCCCTGGTTTATTTTGTCACTCTCAAGTAAAAATCCCTGGTTTATATTGTCACTCTCAGGTTAAAATCCCTGATTTATTTTGTCACTCTCAGGTAAAAATCCCTGGTTTATTTTGTCACTCTCAGGTAAAAATCCCTGATTTATTTTGTCACTCTCAGGTAAAAATCCCTGGTTTATTTTGTCACTCTCAGGTAAAAATCCCTGATTTATTTTGTCACTCTCAGGTTAAAATCCCTGTTTATTTTTACATACACTCTGAAGTATAAACCCTTGGGTTTATTTTAACATACACTCTCAAGGTGTAAACTTTATGGTTATTATTAATATTAGGCCAGATGTTAAAGCTATTATTACCAAAGAGTATAAAAAGGCAAGAAAAAAAAATATGAAAGAAATATGTAAAGAATATATACATATATATATATGTTATTAGTTGATATACAATGTACATGCTTGTGAAAGTTTAAGATGAAAAAATGCATGCATGAAAATGAAAGAACAGGATGAAAGATTAATAAGTCAAAGTTTTTGTTTTGAACCTTTCAGATCCAATTAAAACAAATGATATTTCTGTGTATACTAAGTTAGATCTAAGGTGTCTTCACAGTCACTCATCTCCACGCTAATTTTACGGCACAGGGCTGTTTAACAAGTGTTCACATATTTAAAGCTTTAAGTAATGGAACAAAAGTTTTTTTCTAAATGTATTTTATTAGACATAAAAGCATAACTACTTTTCCCTCTTATGTTGTTAAAAAAAGTGAAGCATCCATTCATTAATGATATAATTGATGAAAGTATTTTCTTCACTGCTTCAAATTACACTAACAAGAGAAAGCTTTAAGGTAACAAGTGCCCCATCTGCCTTCTTAAGAGTTTCTTTCAAAAAAATTTAAAAAAAAAAGGATGATATATTATTGAGGACCAAAGTGCACTATCAGCAGTAGGAGATGAGTTAACGGCAAACATTAATATGTAAAGTAACTATTATATAAGCCCATTATTTTGTGTTAAGTTTACTCACGTGGAAGATGTACCCCTAAAACAAGAATTGCCCCCTAAATATTATTTAACTCTACCCACACAGCTCTACTTCTACGAAACAAAATAGCTGAAATTGATTTTTGATTTTTAGTATGCCTCTATTTTTTGTAACACATTATTTTTTACATCGATATAAACAGCTTGACAGATAAAAGTCTTTGAATGGAATTTTAAAAAAGAAAATTGCTTTATGTTTATAGTTAAGGACTGGGAAAAATGATTGTTTTTTAATGGTTTAATGAAATGAATAAAAAAAATGGTTGTAAAAATTTAAGAAGAAAAAAATATGCAAAATGTCCAAGCAAAATGCTGGGAGCTATGGCAACAATGAAGTGAATTAAATATAACTTTCTACTGATGTAGGCAGAATGACAAATATCAAACAGCGTGGAGTTGGAAGGTTAATGAAGTTTGGTGATGATGACTCGTGTGACTGACATGCATACCTTGCACTGTTATGCCCCTCACAGCCATTAATGATAAGTATGTGGTCACTTGGCAGTGTTTACATGTACAGAGAAGCCATCTTTATCAGACGTTATCAACCAGGACATTTTAGGAGTAAACAGAAGAGAGCTCTGACAGTCCTGAATTACAGTTAATCAAGTTGATGTCAAGTCCAATTATCATATGCGAAGTTGCCAATTTTTGTTTCACTGAGAAAATGCTGTCATCCCAGTGTTTACAGACAAAATTCCAACCAGAACATTGTAACTTAATAACGATGCATTTGTCAAAGCTGGTTACGTGAAATATCAGTAAAACATTAAACATTGTAAAACTATTGCATAAAAATAGAATGATATGTCAATAATCATCTCCTATATTTTATCAATAAATTTAGCCTCGATAATAGAAACGTTTCCATGGAAACCTGTTGGTGGGAGATTCTCCATCAGGTAAATCCTGCACTGGTGACCAAATTGTACCATAACAGGAAGAGTGTTAGATTAATACCCAATAATGATACCATGCCATCCAGATTGACAATAATTGCCAGGTGACTTACGATCTTGTGTTGTGTTTATGTCGTCGAACGTTATCTTTGGATCGACTGGCTTTGTTGTTCTCTATCTCATCCTTCATGTCAAGGATCTTCTGTTTGATTTCAGCATCCTCACACAAATCTGTAACATTACACACGCTTTACACAATAGCAATGGTTAGCTTTTTACATATTTATGTAGAATTAATTGTTCTATGTGATCTACTGTTCCTGTTTCACTTAAACTTCAAAATTTAATGGCTGAGATGAAATATACATTACTTAAATTATTATTCAGGTGTAAACAATATTTGATTTGCCTGGCAACACATTCTAATCTTATGAATTTACAAAATACATAATTATATTTATACACTGATTAATTTCCTTGTTCTTATAATATTTCTCTGTGTGCAGAATATAGAACATCATTTGCAAGAGGTCTTACCGAAAGGTGTCTCTCCATTTTTGGATTTGGAGTCAATATCTGCACCATTCCTAACCAATAGTTCTATCATTTCCGGCTGAAACAGGCACATCATGACAAAAATGAAGCAAACAAAACTACTGAAATTTGAAAATATGACCTTTGACCTTGTTTCTTCTTGAAGTAGAGATAAAACATAGTTACTTCGGTGGAGCGTATTAGGGTCCTTGGTGCCTGGATATAAGGCAAACAGAGAAACTGATTGGAAGTATTGTAAAGATTTTAGGATTAACCGCAATAGGTAATTCAGGTCAGATTCTTTATTAAAGTAATCAATTAACTTCTCTCTTTATATGCTTTTTTAAGGTTATGTATTATTCTCCTATTTCTAATTTGTAACAAAATATACGTTAAACTGTAACAACGTCCTAAATATCATGTGTATGGTAAAATGAAGACATACCGTTATTACAGTTTTGTATGGTGTTGAATATTTCTAAATAATTTCGCTTTGTGATTAATTTGACAATGTATTCTGTCAATTTAATACATTTTTGATAGTATTAATTGGATTGGATTTATCCTTAACACTAACTCTACATAAACTGTTATCTGCTGGGTATAGAATCTGACCATCAAGTCTGTTCTGTATGTTTCAATATTTTGGTTGTGTCCTTCATGATAAAGAACGCAGGATTATTGATATTTTGTGATATCGGTAATATGAGTTAATATCCTGAAAGAACATCAAATAGCTCTTAGCTGATTACAAACCTTCATATTTTTGTGAAGAACATCCTTTAGTGCAGTGATGAAACATGACATGAGATACTAATATATCCTACAATCAGTTTATTCACACCTTTTGAAAAGTCACCAGAAATGACAACAATAGCTAAATCATTGTCCTAACCTTACCTGCCTACTTCAGAGTTCATACACTTTCTCTCTGAACAGACAAAGAATGTAGTTATAGTTTTCTTTAAATGTTCACTCGAATTGGACCATGTCTAGTCCTCTTGAATATTTGAACAATGGATCAATAATCATTTTGATCAGGTCACAAACTTAAGGGGTTGCCACATCTCAGTTGGTTAGAGCATGTGCTACACTAACCTCTGATGAAGACCTCAGGTGGGTGGTTTGACATTTCCTACCATGGTGGTTTGTGCTAATGTAGTTGTTAGTTGTGCCCGTGCCCGCGACACTTCACTCTCAGGATCATATGAGACGGGCCTCTTGCATATTGTTCAGTGAAGTAGCCACCAGATGCTATAAGGGGACACTGGCTGTTCACAGGGTGATCAACTCAACAAATCATCGAAATGAGAAACTGAAATATCTAGTGTGATCAAATTTAACCAGACTTAAAACCTCTCATTAAAGTTTCACATTTTTCACAAATTGGTGACATCTGAAGGTGTACCAAAGAAGGGGAGATAACTGTACCTGTAGCCAACACGCTGCAGCATGGATTGGTTGCCATGAGTCCCTGTCTCGCATATCCACAGAGACATGATGATCCAACAAAAATTCTGCCACATGCATGTATCCATTGGCAGCCGCAATATGGAGCTATAAAAATTAAAAATATCACAATGTATTCATGTCCATGATCAACTGAAAACATGGACTTTATGAAGGAGTCACAAAAATGTCATTAACTTTAAAATTGTATACGGCTGAATTAACAATGATTTTGTAAGACTGTAATATTGTGGCTCACGGTCTCTACACTGATAAGATTCAGAATCACTGATGACATTTATTACTTCTCTATATGTTTTCAATATTATCATCAAATCAATGTGTGCTATCAACCGAACAGCCACTTTAATCTTCATAAAGCTTTAGTGATTTTATTTTTAGCTGATTATGGCAGATTCTGGAAGCATTGAAATCACTCTATTCCTTCTCGTATTGTTTGGTTCATATTTTTGCCTTTAGATTTGGAAAAAAACAACAAAAGAACAAAACATTATAATCCTTGTTCAATAAAAAATGAGCTTCATCCAACTTTACATCGAGTCTAAAAAAATAGCTGTGGAGTAAAATAAAAAATATGAAAATAAAGCTACCAGCTCTACAGTTGTAAAAAATTTGATTTACTGATAAACGTTCAGTAGCTTGCCACTAAACAAATTATCTGAGAATACCAGTCGCCACATCTACTGTAGTAAATGCCACCTGTTATATAAAACCGAAGAAAAAACTGTCAAGAACAGGATTATAGATACTGGTTTGGTGGAAGCTCTGCAGTATCTTAACACATAAAAACCAAATACAGTATATCTACCAGGTAACTGAAATGCTTGAGAAAATGGGAAAAGAAATTTTAAGCCACAAATATTTTTTTTTTCTTATAACAGTTGACTTTCTTAACGTGGCATGTACTTTTAGAATCAATTTTTATTTAATTAAGATCTGAAACTTCAGACTTATATTAAACAGACAGAGCTTATTTTTATCTTTTCTCATTCATCATCACAAAAAATGGTTATCTCTGATGGCAGAATGCACTAAACAGTCACAAAAACATACACAGCTACAAGATTATGGTACATGGTAAAAGGTCATTCTTTTTTAAGGTAGGATGCTACACAGATAAACTGAAATTTGAAAAACAGCTGGATTTAATTGACATCTTGAATTCCAATTGATAAGACAAATAGGAATGAAGTATGGGTGACTTTGTCCAGAATCTTCTTGAGATATATGTCAAAGATACCTAAAAATCTGTTCGATTCTATAAAGTGTTTTTGATTTTTATCGATTAGTCACAAATTATTGGGTGTTTGTATTACTACTGCTGTCAACCAAAAAAAAAAAAAAAAAAAGACAAGAAATTTGCATCAAAACTAGTTTAAAAGTAACTACCTCAGAAATGTTTCCTATATCTATGACCCTCCCCCCAAAAACCTGTAATGTCTCAGTGTATATACAGGAAGCTGACACTAATCAACTTACTGGAGTTGTGCCGTTTTCTGTGTAATACTCCAGGTTGCCATTCTGGGACACAATGTATTCCATGTCTTTTAGCATTTCTTTCTCTGCTATCAACCTCGTCTCATCTATCTCTTCCTGAGTGATACCTGGTCATCAAAAACATATAAATCATACTTTATTGAAGTTTTCGATGTGTCCTAGTGTTAGTGCTATAACTGCTGATCTCAATTCCTTGTAGAGTAGATGACAACATCAGGGTACGGAGATACAGGACAAGTTTTCTTTAGTATGAGAACAAAAGACATGAACAAGGTTATCACTGATCAAGTACACCAATATTCACTAAATCAGACCACGCTTCTTCTGTATGAACCACAAGAGAACGAGGGTGGTATGTGTAAAGACATATCGACTGTCACATTTTATGATAAGTGGATATTAAGCTTGATTTCAATGCATCTAATGGAAATTAGATAGGGTAATTTGGTTTTCTATCGTGTTCAAATAAAATACATGATCTGACCTCCAGTAGATTCCTAAAAAACAAACACACTTACTCCATTCTAAAATTACTGGAGACTTAGAATGATGTAGATATCAGGATTACAAGAAAACTTAAACAAAATCTGACATCTGACTTTTTTCTCCTCAAAACTGCCCTTCATTTATTTGCTCTAAGCTAATCCTATGGCGCCTTTAAACCATGGCTGACGAAGAAGTTCTCTCCATATTAAAGTCATGGTGTTGATACAATTAGCTGCACCAGTCATATCACTGACACAGACCTGATCTAGATGACCTTCACATTACAATTACAAACATATTCCTCAGATTTTGTTAAAGTCAATGATTTGATGTCAATGTCCCCTCTCTACAGTGTGTCTGTGTGATACACAGAAAAATCAGTGACCTTAGAACTATCACGATAATGTTGCAAAAAGTTCAATTTATCAACAAATTGTTGATAGAATCAAGTGAGAATGTTGTCATTGGAATATCAAAAGGCTTTACACATTTCCCAGAGTGATTATCTGTCAGAATCATTGTTAATATGGTGAAGCCTTTATGTACATGCTTGAAATTCAACACATCTACTTTATGAGCGGCAAAGATATTTTTCACTCACATAAATGATAAAACGATAGATATCATGTTGCTATTTGAAAAGAAATTTGGAATTTATCTATCATTCTTTATAAAATATTCCCAGGAGAAAATACCACGTGGCAGCTGAATAATGTGTGTTGTTATCCAAATTGATGTCAACATTGAAAATACCATGTGACAGTTGAATAATGCATGTCATTATCCAAATTGATGTCAACATTGAAAATACCATGTGACAGTTGAATAATGTGTGTTGTTATCCAAATCGATGTCAACATTGAAAATACCATGTGACAGTTGAATAATGCATGTCATTATCCAAATTGATGTCAACATTGAAAATACCATGTGACAGTTGAATAATGCATGTCATTATCCAAATTGATGTCAACATTGAAAATACCATGTGACAGGTGTGTTGAATAATGCATGTCATTATCCAAATTGATGTCAACATTAAAAATACCATGTGACATGTGACAGTTGAATAATGTGTGTGTTGTTATCCAAATTGATGTCAACATTGAAAATACCATGTGACAGTTGAATAATGCATGTCATTATCCAAATTGATGTCAACATTGAAAATACCATGTGACATGTGTGTTGAATATTGAAAATACCATGTGACATGAATAATGTGTGTTATTATCCAAATTGATGTCAACATTGAAAATACCATGTGACAGTTGAATAATGCATGTCATTATCCAAATTGATGTCAACATTAAAAATACCATGTGACAGGTGAATAATGTGTGTTGTTATCCAAATTGATGTCAACATTGAAAATACCATGTGACAGTTGAATAATGCATGTCATTATCCAAATTGATGTCAACATTAAAAATACCATGTGACATTTGAATAATGTGTGTTGTTATCCCCATCGATGTCAACATTGATCATCAGCCTCAACATTAAAGGGCTGCCATGTTTTATCTCCCATCAAAATAACTGCTGTGGCAATGTAATAGTAATCATGATTATAAAAAAAAATTGTCTAATCATATGTTATGTATCACTATCATTTGAATTTCAAAACATATTGTAGGAGAAAATTATGATTCGTAAATTTTACTATGGAGCCAAAAATAAACATAAAGCATGTTTCAAAGACTAACATAATTATAGGCTGATCTCTACAAAAACAGATGGTTACCATTATTCCTGTAATCACTATTGTTTTACAGTACAGCATCTGTTTAGGGAATAATCTTATGTTCAGACATGTAGCAAAAACAACAACTTTCTCTCACACTACATGTGTGGAAAATATTCACAAACATGTATGAAAGACCTCACTCTGCACTAAAGTATTGCAACAATGCTTGCAATTTCCCATTGACTGTCAGTAGTACAGGCTAAAACAAATGCCCTATATAATTTTGCCTCAATTACAGTCAGTCACAGGAAGTTAGTGTTTCCACACTCCAATCCTAAACCACTTGAGCTGAAGAGTCACTCCAAACCATATGTACATAGTCCACTCCAAAGCTAATTGAAATGTTATGCTTTCTAGCCAAACTGGTCATCAGTAATTCATCAAGAGCGGTTTTTATAATATCTCCACAATAATTAACCGCGAAACAGATATCTAGTTTTTCTGATTTGTTTTCCCCTACAGAGATAATGACTACTTAGTATTAGCTTACTGTTTGTCTTCCCCTACAGCTGAAATAAAAATGATGTTTGTCATTTAGAGTTGTTAAACAGTGACAGTGTGGTGTTCCTCCAAATGTCAGACATCTGTATACTTCTCTCTCTCTCCTAACTGACAATATTGTTAACAAAAAACATGGCGTTATGTACGCTAGATGAAGAAATATTTTGATCTGAATTGATGACCAACACTGCTATAATAATGTCATATTTCTTCATTGTATGAATGTTATTGATGGTTAATGGTGATACATGGTTATCAATTTGCTGCTAATTCAATGGAAACAGGGTGTTGACAGTGATCATCTAACAAAGATTGCAATGTAATGATGACAGTAAGCAGAATAACAAGCAGAGCAAGTGTAAACTTTGTAAAATGTTCAGCATATAATAAGATAACAAAATTGTGCTGAGGACAAAAATAGGAAGTCTTTGTCTACAAAGTAAATGCGGTGAATTTCCAAGTCCCTGTAGATGGTTGGACATCATGATGCACAGCGTCTAGACAAACTTGACTGTCTGACTGTAATGACAAGGATCTGGTCTGGCATACCATTCTCGTCTAATAAGGCTGCTCATCCACTTCCATCTTCTTCTGTCTTACATATATTTGATGTAGCCTATGTGTTGCCAGGGCAACGTGTCTCATGACAACTGGTAAATACTATTGGTGTAAATAAAACCTTAATAAACGTGTCTTGTATGAGTATTCCATCACAATCTATAGACAGCCTTAATGGAGAGTCACATAATCCCCAGGCTGCACCAGTCATCTCATTGACACAAACCAGATCTTAATGACCTTGACCTCAGTCATACATATATAAGAAACATCAGTTCAAATTTTCCTAAAGATGATCTGTTGTCATTGTCCTTTAAAATGTGTCCCTTTATATACAGTCTGTGTGGTACAACTAAGAATCGGTGACCTTGGAATCCCATAATCCTGTTTCATAAAGTCATAAATCTTCAACTTATTAACAAAATGACCTTGACCTTCAGCTTACTGACCTCTCTTTGCCATTTCTGTCTCTATGTAATCCAAGGTCACTTCATCCTCACAGATGTCATATGGCATGTTTCCATCAGCATTCACAGCTAATAATTCTGCCCCTCTGAAAAAAGTACATAACATGGTTACTTTAGAGATCTTCGTGGAAATAAATGAGTCTTACAACAATCAAATAAATACCAACTTTACATCTGAATTCTAGACTGAACAGTTACAATCCTTGATAACAACAAAGATACCAGGACAGAGTTGCTGAAGAATTTAATATATGTATTGTTTTAACTGAATACAACTTTCCTATCTATGCTGCTGATATTATTTTTATCATCGTTAATGTTTTCCCAAATAAATTATCTTTTTTTTTTAATTGTTCAAGATATTTGTTCAAAGTGTATGATGTCAGTGAATGTATAAAATTTCGAAGCATCAGTATTTATTATTAAATCTGAAAGGTATTGAGGCTACAATATGATAAAAACAACTTTTAATTTTACCTGATGTTATAAGTTAGATAGAGATACTATAACTTACAGAATACTGATAAATCAGTTTCCTTACTTTCCTAAGTAGCCCTTCACACAAGTATGTGTATAACCTATTTAAACTCAGGCAATGAAGACAGATGGAAGTTTAACAAAAATAATTTTAGAGGAACATACATTAATTTCTCAAATTCCATAAAATAAGCGAAATTCGATTAACAAATGAATATATGTGTAGTTCCCCATAATCTGGCTGTTTGTATTTTACGGAAGATATATTCATGGTATCCTACCCTCCAATCTACATAGTCCTGTTTTTAGGATGAAAATTCTGCACTGCATATCAACATCATCTACCATCCAAAACTCTCACTGCTATCTCATATGTTTTATTGTGATGTTTTCTAAGAATTCATTATTTTCATATTAAAAAAAAAATAATGTAAAAATATGAAGTAAATCCTGTTAATATTTCAGCTTTTCACTAGATATGTGCCATGTATTCGTGAATAACATGCTATAACGATTCTACACTGATAAGGAATGAGGCAATAGCTTTTCGTTTAACAGTAACCATCTTTCAAGATAAAGCTTACAATTGTAAGGATCCCTCCAGTGTGAAGATCATTTTATGTGAATAATTTAGATGCCATATTTTTTTCTGATATTACACACAGGAGCAATTTCTGGTAGTATAGGACTGGATGAGATTGGGACTGACTGTAGTAGTTTGTAGATTAGAGAAAACATGCTGACATTAGTTAAATGTTAAAATCATCAGTTGCAACATTTACTGTAACAAAGCTACCACTTATCTTACTGTTATCTCAGCATCACTTCCACATCCTCCACACCACTAGATCAATCTCCTACAGTACCACTCTCAAACTTCTTCACACTCATTAAACACCCAACACTCTCCCTCATTATACCTAACTCCCTACACTCATCCTCATTATACCTAACTCCCAACACTCATCCTCATTATACCTAACTCCAGAAACTAACTCTCATTATACCTAACTCCCAACACTCATCCTCATTATACCTAACTCCAGAAACTAACCCTCATTATACCTAACTCCCAACACTCACCCTCATTATACCTAACTCCCAACACTCACCCTCATTATACCTAACTCCCAACACTCTCCCTCATTATACCTAACTCCCAACACTCACCCTCATTATACCTAACTCCCAACACTCACCCTCATTATACCTAACTCCCAACACTCACCCTCATTATACCTAACTCCCAACACTCACCCTCATTATACCTAACTCCCAACACTAACACTCACCCTCATTATACCTAACTCCCAACACTCACCCTCATTATACCTAACTCCCAACACTCACCCTCATTATACCTAACTCCCAACACTCACCCTCATTATACCTAACTCCCAACACTCACCCTCATCATACCTAACTCCCAACACTCATCCTCATCATACCTAATCCCAACACTCTCCCTCATCATACCTAACTCCCAACACTCACCCTCATTATACCTAACTCCCTCATCATACCATTATACCTAACTCCCACTCACCCTCATTATACCTAACTCCCAAAACATTATACCTAACTCCCAACACTCATCATACCTAACTCCCAACACTCTCCCTCATTATACCTAACTCCCAACACTCTCCCTTTTTAAACCTAACTCCCAACACTCTCCCTCATTATACCTAACTCCCAACACTCACCCTCATTATACCTAACTCCCAACACTCACCCTCATTATAACTAACTCGAGAAACTCACCCTCTTTATACCTAACTCCCAACACTCATCCCCATTATACCTAACTCCAGAAACTCACCCTCATTATACCTAACTCCCAACACTCTCCCTCATTATACCTAACTCCCAACACTCACCCTCATTATACCTAACTCCCAACACTCACCCTCATTATACCTAACTCCCAACACTCACCCTCATTATACCTAACTGGAGAAACTCGCCCTCATTAAACCTAAATTCTGATACATTCCTTCATTAAACCTAACTAATACTCACTTTCACTAAACCTAATCCCAATACACATCCTTATCAAACCTATAACTCCTAATACTCACTAACCTAATACACAATACTCATCCTAATTAAACCTCACTGTACTATTACCTATTGTTAAACATACTTCCATCATATACCTGTCCTGATTAGCCTCACTCCCATTAACTCAAAACTCAGCCAAACAAGCACATTACCGAGGTATTTCTCCCTGGAATAAGATTTTCATTTATTTGAATGTCCTCACTGAAAGTCAAATCCAATTGATGTGACCTAATTCAATAATTAAAATATGGCTCTGTGTACAATCAGTTAGAATCTAGAGAATAACTTTGTTAGAAGTGTCATCATTCTTTGCTAAAGCTGTCTCATTCCAGAAGATTGTAGAAAATGGTAATACAGAAAGAAGGAAAAAAAATCTCAAAATCAAAATAGAAAATTCTGCTATCACCACTCTCAAGCATTTCAAATCTGCATTCTTATACCTCTCACTTGACATTTCTGCTTTAAATTGTTTTAATAACGTCCCTCACTTGTACTACTGTTAACAATTTTTTCTCCTTACAGTTCAATCCAACGATTAGTATCTCAAATATGGAAAGATAAAAGTTCTGTGTCAAGATCAATTCAGCTTTGCGCATAGCTAAATCTTCCTGTCACACATAACATGTGTTAACTTGACTAAAGTTTCACCGGCATCTTTAGAGTAATTTTAATCAGCAGATGTGTGCTGGGTGGAAACAATGGTCTTGGATTTCTATAAGATGAGATAGAATTTAGACATTTATCCTGTAGGGAACGATGATCATTATAGACCTTATATGTCAAGTCATGTCTAAATATAGACTCAAGATTTAATCTTTTCTCGTTAAGACAGGAAGAAAACTATTGGTACACATTGTTCCCTATAGTTACTCCCTAATTTGTATAAATTACATTTTAATTGAAAATAATTGGGAGTAGGGATTGTGTGGGCTTATATTGGCTCAGTATAATGTCAACTTTTGTCCAAAACATTTAGAGAAAAAGAACAAAAGAAAATGAAAAAAATGCACATTCTTTAGTATAGAGTTATTTTATGATATTCATTTGTATCATGGATTTAAACAGACCACCTTGAGAAGGGAAATAAGGACACAGCTAATAATTTTATTGAATATAAAAATTTTGTTCTAAAAATAAAATTTCACAGCTACCTGGAATACATATATTGTATATAAAGTTTAAAAGATATGATGAGAATCTAGTATGCTTTGTAGAAGCTTCAATCCATAGATAGGAAAACTTATAATCCAAAAAAGAAAATTAAATAAATTTTAAACTGTTTTGTTTACGATATTTATTGCCATCTATCTGACTTTCTAGGTTCACATAAAACTTTATCAATTCAAGTTGCAAAAATAATTCTTAGTCAGGAAGCAAATACTTAAGAATTTGATTTTGAGCAAAATTTCTATTAATTACCAGTGTGTTGCAATATGGATGATTGGTAGGAGAAACGAAGCTGGTTTTATAAGATTGACAGTGTGTACTTGTCAGCTGCCAGTGTTACAATAAAGCTATTCAATTCAACAATCAATAGCTAAGCTATGTACTTGATTAACTTTGTCATGGGATGATCGCAAAATATGGCAGCATTCTACCTCATAGCAGACAACAGCTACGAATAATTATGTATGGGAACAGTGGGAAAGTGGAGCCAACATGCTGACATACACAATCCTGCACATATCACATCCCTAAAACAATTTCTCTGTTGAATGAGGAAAGCAATTAGAAATGTATTTGCTATATATGAAGTAGACTGAGAGCTCTGAATAGGAAAGGAAATTTTAGCCAAATATAATATGTAAGTAAAAAAAAAAATGAAAATCACATTTATTTTTATTTAGTTATGAAAAAAACATGACTTCATCTTAAAATGTCATCTACAAGATACACATGCAGATTATGGTACACAAGAGCAATCCATTGTGATATTAAAAAAATCTGATATCACTATATACACAGCTATTCCATTCTATCAACAAAGGATTTCCCCCGATTTTCAGACTGGTATATTTGATCAAGGATTTGCTGACTTGGGAACATTTGGTATCTGACCTACTTTTCCAAAAACATCAATATTCAAATCAGACAGCATTTATGTATGAGGAGTCAGTTTGGTAATGGTTATGGTCAATCATACTTAGGTCTTTATACAGGGACACAGAGTCCAGTACAACTCTGATTCCTGTTTTATATCTTTGGACTAAAATACCCTGATTGCACTGTACAAGATAGGGAAAGAAACAAATGAAATGATAAAATGATGAGAGATTTAATATTGGTGTTACAGCCCAACCTGGTGAACACTCCTCGTAAAAATCACCCTCTACTCTTTTACTGGAAACTGGGTTAAAGCATCATGGAAAATTGTTTCTGACACTTTAATTCTAGGTGAGATACCCAGTGAACACAGCATCTTTGGAGAACGTTGGCAAACGTTCAATTTTGGTCACAATGTCCCTAAATTTTCAGCAACATTGTATATATAAGAACATTATTTTTTAAATGTTTATGTGAAGTCACTATGGATGTTGTAATAATATGGCAACAAGGTTATTGTGTAAACATTATAATTTATTGGAAAAAGAATGATATTCAATAATGTTTGTTTCCTATATATTTATTTTTATGTGAGGAAAGGAAGAAAACATGGCAACAAATGTAGCTCGTTTTTGGCTCTTTGTCTATATATTAAATTCTAAAACAGAGTACCCATCAATGTTGGTCACTTTATTGATCTGACTGATCTTGTTGGTCTCATGATATCAATTAAACATATTAAAAGTGTCACATTTACAAACACATGTTTCACAGAGCTGTTGTTAGTCATTAGGACACGCTTCCACGTTAACGTAACAATCAGGACAAAAACATCGCCATCAGGTGTTTGTAAATTGTTATTCCCTTTTTATTTCATTAAAAGAAGCCCTGAATCCCCATGTCCTGAAATACACAGCAAACAAGAATGTCATTAAATCCATCAAGGATAATCTAGAGTAAACATGAATGGTCAGTGACCCAGCTAGGGTGATCGGGTCTCTTCCAATAGGCTGTAGGTGTAAAATTATTGATAGACCAATGAAAACTAGCAGCATGGTCAAGAGAGAAAAACGATGGATAATAGCCTCCTCACTCTATCTGGTGTGAAAGCCTGTCACTCTATCCTGGACCTGGGTATGTCGTCAAGTCTGTGAATACATGTCTGTGATGATAAGGTTTCCCAAAGGTTTTAAATCATCTCTCCCTGCACCATGCATGTCAGCATGCAATAAACAAAGCAAATGCTGACTGGTAGAACTAATACTGTTACACACATATCATCCTCCGACCCTGAGGTCTAATACTGCTTTATACATGTCAATGATTCCTTCCATACAATGTCTAACTCAGCCTTACAAATGTCTTACTTAATTGTGTTCCAGACCCCTTCATCCTATCGTATGGTATCTAATAGAATTTTATGCCTTACAAATACTGATAGTCTTCTGTTTTATCCACAAAACTACCTTACACACATCCATGACCTCTACCTTACATACATTCATGACCTCTACCTTACATACATCCATGACCCCTACCTTACACACATCCATGACCTCTACCTTACACACATTCATTACCTCTACCTTACACACATCCATGACCTCTAACTTACACACATTCATTACCTCTACCTTACACACATTCATGACCTTTACCTACACACATCCATGACCTCTACCTTACACACATCCATGACCTCTACCTTACACACATCCATGACCCCTACCTTACACACATCCATGACCTCTACCTTACACACATTCATGACCTCTACCTTACACACATTCATGACCTCTACCTTACACACATTCATTACCTCTACCTTACACACATTCATGACCTTTACCTACACACATCCATGACCTCTACCTTACATACATCCATGACCTCTACCTTACACACATCCATGACCTCTACCTTACACACATCCATGACCTCTACCTTACACACATCCATGACCTCTACCTTACACACATCCATGACCTCTACCTTACACACATTCATGACCTCTACTTTACACACATTCATGACCTCTAACTTACACACATTCATGACCTTTACCTACACACATTCATGACCTCTACCTTACACACATCCATGACCTCTACCTTACATACATCCATGACCTCTTACTTACACACATCCATGACCTCTACCTTACACACATTCATGACCTTTACCTTCACCTACCTAAAACTATAGTTAACTTCATCCTCTCCCCAAGGAGAAACATGAGACCCTGGGGTCATATAATTTATGATTTCTGTAAAGCACCTAAAGATCCCTCCGTTCATAAAGAGCATATAATTCTACTTAAACTGGTTTTTGAGAAGAAGATTTTTTAAATTTGAGTAAATTTGACCTCTTTTGGCCCAAATAATCAGCCCTTGGGTGTCAGGCAGGATCAATAGGTAACATTAAGCAGTCATCCTTTGCTAGTAATGCAAACACAATTTTTAAATATTTCCATTCCAAAGTATGCTCAAATATCCTATTTTTCTATTTAAACTATAGTAAACTTTACCCTCTTCCTGAGAGGGAAATTTGAGACCCTGGGGTCATAAAATTCACAATATTGGTAATGAAGAGAATTTGATTCTACCATATCTGGGTATTGACGAGAAGATTTTTGAAATTTGAGTTAATATGACCCCTACCATTAAGTAGTTATCCTTTGCTAGTAATTCTAACCAAATCTGAAATATTTCCAATGGAAATTTAAATAAATTATGCTCAACCCCCAGGTCCTCGGGGGTGATAACTATATGATTCTCCATGTTGGTTCACCTTTAGCCAGGGAATGTTTCTTTGAAATTTCATTGAAATCAGTTCAGGGGTTTTGGAGAAGAAGTTAAGAATGTTAAAAGTTTATAGATGCACATTACGCAGGTACATGATGCACAACAAAAGGCCATTGCAAAAGTCTAAGGTGACCTAAAGGTTGAGTCACATGCAAAATTTCAAAGCATATTGAATCAGCAATAAGTCAAGGGCCTGGCCAGTGCTTAAAGTCAGGTCCAAGTAGGGCCTACTAATGACATGGACTTATAACTAGGTGAATGTGTCAGTGGTGTGTACTTACTTGTCAATGAGGTGTTTACAGAGGTGTACATGCCCACAGGTGGCAGCAGCGTGTAATGGTGTCCACATCTCACTGTCCTGGGCATTCACTTGGGCTCCAAACTCCAGCAACAACTTCAGCATCTCCTCACTGTCATCTATACAACACTAGAATAAAAGGTCATCTCTAAGTTATATACCAACAACTATACCACCAAAATATTCAATTTTATTGGTAAACTTACTCCGACAATTTCCATTAATTGATAAACTGTTATTAAGGTGACATTCAATTTCAGTCTAAGAGGACTTTATGAGGTAATATCTATCCATGAAAGCAAATTCTCTCAAAAAATTTTATTCACTTTTTTTCCCTTGAAAAAAAAAACCCCACAAAATTTACGATTATACAGTAGACAATAGATTATCAGAACTTTAATCTACTTCAGAGTTCATCATTTCACCACCTTACTGAAATAAAAGTATCAAACTTTGGCAATGATTTACACTTCAATGTGTCCTTCAGTAAATTCTAAGAGAAGATGAATGGGCTTTAGAATATAGTTCAGTAGGTTTGCCCAGCCGTGCCACCCTATAATCTATCACCGCCCACTAGATTTGGAGGATTCCTATCCATAGGTTAATTGTCTGACATCTGTATCCAAAGCTGATTCAACTTTGTACAGCAGTAAATTGTGTGGTTATTCTGTATACATAAACAAATTATCTTCAATTACTTGTGAATGGCTAAAAACACAGAAGTAAAATTGCAGTGGGAATACTATAATAAATTAGAGTTTGGGCTTTAAATAAGGTTAACAACAGAACAATTGCAGACATGCTGTAAACACACATATATCAGAAATAAACATATATAGCTTCAAACTTTTTGAAGTGGAAGTATCGTGATAAAAATTTGGATTAAACATCAGCAGATTTAGTAATAGTTTTAATATCATACTGGTGTGTTTGATAATATCATTAAAATATCAAGAGACAAACATAATCTTAGCTTTAAATAGACTTTCAAATGTTGTAGGAGAAACAGTCTGAATCACTAAAACACAAACCTGGTGAAGGGCTGTCAGTCCATCTTCATTAGTGGAATTAGGGTTCACACCTTGGGTCAGAAGTCTCCTCACTACAAATACAGAGAAATACATATAGACTCAATAATACACAAACTGGAAATACAGAGAAATACAGAGAAATACATGGAGACTCAATTATACACAAACTACAAATACAGAGAAATACATGGAGACTCAATAATACACAAACTGGAAATACAGAGAAATACAGAGAAATACATATAGACTCAATAATACACAAACTACAACTACAGAGAAATACAGAGAAATACATAGAGACTCAATAATACACAAACTGGAAATACAGAGAAATACATAGAGACTCAATAATACACAAACTACAAATACAGAGAAATACATGGAGACTCAATAATACACAAACTGGAAATACAGAGAAATACTGAGAAATACAAAAAGACTCAATAATACACAAACTGGAAATACAGAGAAATACATATAGACTCAATAATACACAAACTGGAAATACAGAGAAATACATGGAGACTCAATAATACACAAACTGGAAATACAGAGAAATACAGAGAAATACATGGAGACTCAATAATACACAAACTACAAATACAGAGAAATACATGGAGACTCAATAATACACAAACTACATATACAGAGAAATACAGAGAAATACATAGAGACTCAATAATACACAAACTACAAATACAGAGAAATACATATAGACTCACTAATACACAAACTGGAAATACAGAGAAATACAGAGAAATACATGGAGACTCAATAATACAGAAACTACAAATACAGAGAAATACATGGAGACTCAATAATACACAAACTACAAATACAGAGAAATACATAGAGACTCAATTATACACAAACTGGAAATACAGAGAAATACATAGAGACTCAATAATACACAAACTACAACTACAGAGAAATACAGAGAAATACATATAGACTCAATTATACACAAACTGGAAATACAGAGAAATACATGGAAACTCAATTATACACAAACTGGAAATACAGAGAAATACATATAGGCTCAATTATACACAAACTACAACTACAGAGAAATACAGAGAAATACATATAGACTCAATAATACACAAACTGGAAATACAGAGAAATACAGAGAAATACATGGAGACTCAATTATACACAAACTGGAAATACAGAGAAATACAGAGAAAAACATGGAGACTCAATTATACACAAACTGGAAATACAGAGAAATACATATAGGCTCAATTATACACAAACTACAAATACAGAGAAATACAGAGAAATACATAGAGACTCAATAATACACAAACTACAAATACAGAGAAATACATACAGACTCTATAATACATAAACTGGAAATACAGAGAAATACAGAGAAATACATGGAGACTCAATTATACACAAACTAGAAATACATTGAAATACAGAGAAATACATATAGGCTCAATTATACACAAACTAGAAATACAGAGAAATACCCATACTTGATAATACACCAAACTACCATCCTAAATGACCCTTAAAAACTTTCAGTTTTAATTTATGACCATATTGATATCAATACTCACTGAGTTTTGAAATGACATCATATAATTACAGTTCAATGGTGTGAAATCAAGAATTCTTGTAATATTCTGAGTTGATAATTTATAAAAACTGACAAAACTTGTCATGTTTAGTACACCTAGAATCTTACATAAGTTTGCATTTTTTATATCACTTATAAAACAAGTATCATTTTTCATTTTATTTCAGCATCTGGTAAGTTAAAATGAAAAAAGTCAGGCTGGCTTAAAAGAAAAATTCTGATTCCTTTCGAAGATCTCACAATGATGTATAGAAGTTTTCACAATAATGCAAAAGACAAGAAAACATCCTGGCTCTAGACCAACTGTCATCATAGTCAAAAAATTGTGAAAGATTATCTATATACAATATGAATAAATTCATTTAAAAATGGCAATCATGTGATGAATTAATATATTCTGTAAATATATGTATGTTTTGCTGCACAAAGCACACCAAAAGAGGATCAACCCACATGGTTTATCTACAACCTATATTCTGCTGACAGGTCTCTACACATGTAACCTGTATATATTGTGCAGCTTTTAAGTCCATTCTGAAGCCTATTTTCTGTGTGATGAATATTTACATAATCTGCTCTGTCAGGCTTGTCAACTTTACCACCAAAGCTACATTTCAATCTAGATAATCCCCAAAAATTCAATTCAATGAAAGACAATGACATTTTGTTATTTACATATTATACAATCAGCGTGATTGATGTCTGTATGTTTGATAGGATTGTAGAAATCTTTGGTCTTTTTATCTGTAAACCCAGCAGGCCCAGTCATTACAAAACATGTATTAATACTGATATCTGTTGTGCTGCTCATGTCAATGTAACATCATCTGCCAGCTTCCTGATCATCATGATCACTGACTACATATATACAATCAGTAGTAGATAGAAATATCACCAGACATTGATCCATGTTACCAACGGTATAAATACCACCAAGCATTCCACAAAGTAAAACAATAGGTATCTGGCTTTGTTCACGTTTTTATTACATAACCTTGTTACCATGGGAGATCCTTGTACAGCGCTCCTGAAATTTCCTGTCATCAATAACGTTCAGACGTGCCCCTAATAGACATGACTTATGCTTCAGTGACAGGTACCACTGCATCCAAATCCCATAGTAGGCACTAATCTGTAATTCATATTTATAAGGACGTGGCTGATTTTCAATCATCCCAATTAGTGATTTACCGGAATGGGAATATGGAGCAATCTTCGTGGTCTGTCATGGCCAGCAACTTAATAACAGTGTTAAATGTTCCCTCATCCTTCGGATATTGATTGGCCCTTGGGTAGACTCGAGTCCAATTCACCACAGATGACCCTATGACCATTATTCATACCAATGTATGGACACCCTGGAGGTTATCATTTCTCTCAGTCCCTAAAGCAACTTGTGATCTGATCTAGACTATCAACAATGACATACAGGAAAACTGTGCCCAAAACTATATAAAAAAAAGGAAGAAAAAAAGAGAGGGTGGATACAACGGTGTACATTGTAATTAAATATGTTTAGATTATAAAAGTTTCTCTAGAATGGTTTTGTTATCACTCCAGGATATGTCGTACTATTTCTACAAGCTTCTGTGATTTATGACTTCAAAATGTAAATAAACAACAGCAAACCTATATGCCTGTCATGTCTAATCTGAATTTGAATAATTTTGATTAAATATACAACCTCAAGTGTTTGAATTTTACATTGAGAATAATTTGTCAGGACCAGGTATTTAAGACACGTTAGAGGTAAGAAATGTAGGAATCTGAGGTCTTCTGATCATACATGTGTGTGCTTGTTTAAGTTGAGTTTTACATTTGAATAGACATATCGTAAACAAGAAAGGGACATCATTTTTTAATTGTCTTGTCATGAATTTTAACACATAACTTCATTTGGGATCTTTTCCCTTAGCAATGCCTGCTTTTTGCCTTAATGCTGAGGGTCTATTTCCAGCAAGGAATGGTTTGGTTTCTCTCCCCAACAGAGATTTATCCTAAGTCTGTAAAATGGAATACTAAATGAACAGTATGAACTGGTAAGCATTTTTTCAGTAACATAACCATGTGAGGAGTCATACTACTGTGTTCAAGTTATTGTCAGTATAATGTAACCAAGTGGAATGTCATGCTACCATTTCCAGATTATCACATTTCAGTGTGATAACACTATAACAACAAACATCTGTGGCCTCATCATCTGTGGACCTGGTCCTCACAGGACCCAAGCTGTTAATTGACAAGAGTATAAAAAAACTCAATCAGAAAATCACACATGAAAAAATGAATATTTTGATGCTGAAATGATCAACAGCTTGATGCACTTACATGGCCGCAAAGTGGCAAATCTTATAATGATAAAGTATTGACCACTGTCTGGCTTTTGACATACACGTGTGAGGTTTGATATCTTGATAATTCACAAAAAGAAAAATGACTTTCCTTACTCAGGAAGCGTAGACTGTTTGACAAATCATAACCAGAACCTGAACCAAGATGCCAGAAAGAATATCTAGCTTGAGACCATATATGGTCAAATGTAGATTAAAGGACACCATGCACAGAGCTAGCTTGTAGATAGTCTATTACCAGTGGTTAAAGAAACAGCAATTCAAAACTGAAACCATAGCTATGAACTGTTGCTTGACTGCTGACTGTCTATCGACCAGAAGTTCATTGGTAGCATTACTACAGTACAATTAGACTTATGGATACTTGATAGCAATATTAATGGCACTTTAAAGAGAAATTGAAAATGATTTGTATGGCGCATGCCAAGACAAATACATCAACATCTTTGATGTCCCTTCAATCTAGATCAGTGGAGGTCATCCCGATGTTGTATCCATGTAAAGATGGTTGTGGTTTCTGGGGAATGGTCTGATCCAGGTTACTATGTTATGTACTGATTACTCATTGAAAGGCAATACATGACTTTATCTCCAAACTTCATGCTTCATTACTTTAATCAGATTCTTCTCTTCCTTGTTTCCATGAATGCATGAGGATTGTATGTACATGTATACAGAGGACCAGTCTAGGTCTATACCAGTGTACTTAATTTTGTCTCCAGCTGTTTTTCAATGATGGCCTAGCTACTGCCAAAAACTAAATCTCTTCTGACAAACATTTTTTTTCTAGATTGATTAACTATGGCAATGAAGGATATGATACCGTTAGATGTAAAATTTCAGTAAAATAAACAAAATTTTTAATTAATCTAAAGAGAGCAGGTGTCTCCCTTAATACACAATACTTATCTTTATATATGAATGGATGGTGCATTCCCCATTCACTAAGTCAGCTGGATGCAGGGTTTAATTCCTCAATACAGAAATGTATCTAGGCATTAACAACCCAACCACCTGGTTTATCTCAGAGAACATCAGCAGTATATGTACCAGTTCATATCTACTTGAATAATTGCATCTTTTGTGAAATAATTCATGAAACAAGACCAATTTATGAAAATGTGCAGGTTTTTTTCTTACCTATGACAATTATAAAGTAAACAGACAACTGATTTTGATAAAAATTCAAATCAAATGAAGGACCATGAATAGAATTGATAGCTGATTTTTAAGAGAAAATCTTCATTTTAATAACTGCAATTGCCTTATTCTTTAGGCACAGCACCCTAATAACAATATATCCTTTCTAGCAATCACCTGTTACCTGGTGAATGTACAACAAATTGTATATAGTAAATTTTTTGAGCGTATATAATTTTTGTATAATCATTGACTCTTTCAAAATCGTAAAAATAAAAATGGTAAAATCTGCATGTTTTCTTGTTACGATAGTACATACATGACTGAATGCCTTTTTAAAGTTGAAGTAACTACATGCACCTTAATAGTTCCTAGTCATGAATACTCCTCATGGTGATGTTTAAATCAACACTGGTACGTACTTAAGGTCTCTATCCATTCTAAAGTATTCAAGGTCTTCAAAAGTGGCCATTCCTTATTCTCAGATGTATTGCAAAAATTGCAAAAGGTACATTTTGGGAATTTTTGCAAATACAGCACAGTGTAAAAATATCCAAATATATGGTATTTAAGTCAACTTTTTAGCCAGCCTCAACCAATTGGTGGCAACATAATGGTTACACTGGTTTAACAGGTGATAATGTCAAATATAAGCTAAAGTATTGGTATTTCTGCAATTAGAAGTAACTGTATAAAGTAAACAGTATCCGTTAATACCTCATTAAACATATACATGTAGTTTGCCCAATGGACATATGACTTCGGATCAATGCTGGATATAGGGCCATCTGTAACCAGTTATGTCTATGATGTACATACAAGACCTGACATTGTACGTATGTTGGATTCTGACATCCGTATAACATACCTTGAAAGTCACAATTACCGACAGCTTTGTAGAAATTTCCAATATATACATTTATAAATTTTTCTTAAGTTCACTTACATTTCTGGAAGATAAATAGTTGAAATATATGCTTTATTCTTTCATGTGGGTAGAATCTGGCATCTAGTTTGTCAACGTAAAGTCACTAACGGTTAAGCTCCCTTACTTTATTATCTTATAGAGGGCTTACTAATAATTATATATCATCATACTGTACACAAAGTAGATTAAAACTTTACCGCTTTTCGTCTTAACTATATATTTTTGAAAACTGAAAATACTGACTCCGTTAAAAACATAAAGATGACATGCTATTGAAACAGAATAAAAATAGTTCAAGTGAAAAGAAACAATGTGGAATATTTTTGGTTTCTTTGTTTTCAACGGACTTGAACCATGTGATAACCAGATCAACTGACTAGAACCATGTGATAACCAGATCAACTGACTTGAACCATGTGATAACCAGATCAACTGACTAGAACCATGTGATAACCAGATCGACTGACTAGAGCCATGTGATAACCAGATCGACTGACTAGAACCATGTGATAACCAGATCGACTGACTAGAGCCATGTGATAACCAGATCGACTGACTAGAACCGTGTGATAACCAGATCAACTGACTAGAACCGTGTGATAACCAGATCAACTGACTAGAACCATGTGATAACCAGATCGACTGACTAGAACCGTGTGATAACCAGATCAACTGACTAGAACCATGTGATAACCAGATCAACTGACTTGAACCATGTGATAACCAGATCGACTGACTAGAACCATGTGATAACCAGATCAACTGACTAGAACCATGTGATAACCAGATCAACTGACTAGAACCGTGTGATAACCAGATCAACTGACTAGAACCATGTGATAACCAGATCAACTGACTTGAACCATTTGATAACCAGATCAACTGATCAATCATAGGAAGAAATTTTACCATTCAGACATACTCACTTATCCCCATTATATAATAGTTCTGTAGATAAACCAGGTATGTTTCCATTTAACTTTAAACTTCATGGTAAAAAGCTTGTGAGATCCTTGAACTTGGATATCACATACACATAAATGATGATAATGAAAAACATTCAATTCAATTTCTATGACTCAATGTATACACTATAAGTGTCATTACATAGCAAAAGAAACCGGAATGTTAACCTGCTTAACGTACATCCATTTTATCAGATTTAACAGGTACATATATTATTGTGAATATAATGTATGGTAACAACTGTGCTTGTGATCGATGACCTATTATGTAATCACTAGTTTCTACAATAAATGCTAATGGGGTAGATAAAATACCAGCAAGTTGCTGTGCACGCAGTAAATTGAAAATAATGTTTCAACATTTCAAAATACAAAGAATAAATCATGATTTAGTTTCAATGTTTTAATTTCAATTTTTAATTTGTATTCATATTCTAATTCTAAAAATTGAAATTAGCATATATGATAGAGCTGTGTATTGCATGCATGTAGGTCGAACTTTCTGATTGCAGTTAAATGTTGATTTATAATTTAATAACAAAATGCCTACAGTTAAAATAGAAATATGTGGGGGCTGAAGGCACAAGTTCATTTGTCCTGAAGCAGAATTTCTACCTATTATAAAATTGCAAATACCTGGTATGTCACCTAATGAGTAAGTAACCAATTTAGGAAAAAAAAATTCCGTCGTCCCACAGCATGACATTGATACTGCCATCAACTGCTGCTTAAAAACACGTTCTAGATAGATGGGGGTAGTTGGCATGATAAAGAATGAAACTTACTTTAAAGCTCTGTGATTTTTTAAAGTGTGAAATTTAAATATGTTACTTTATTTTTTTCAGGCACTATTCTTTTCTTTACAGCTTTGAATTTTAATCTAAAAGTATCAAATTGCATTATTTCAACATTTTTGCCAACCATTCTGTTCAAAAAAACGTATTCCAAATATTTTATGGAAAAAAAGTTAGATATTGCATTTCATATCTCATCCATCATGATTGTGACGTCTTTCCAGCGTTTGATTTGAGCGTCTGTAAGAAACCTCTCATGTTAAATATCTAGCCAACATAAAATTTTGACGTCTAGAAAACTTTTATTTTGAAACCGAATCCACCATCAACATCAAGTATGACGCTGTTTAGGTGTTGATTCGTCTAATGCTCACTGGATACATATCAGGGTTATATACAAAGAAAATAATGTAAAAACTTCATGCATACTCTCTTGGCACCATTTACTTAGAGTATCATACTGTGTGCCATTTTTAAAGGATTTATATTTGAAATGAGTTGTTCAACAAGATGTCATCTATTGTAAGCTAAACGCCCTTGACATCAAATAGTAAGATGTCCTACCACTGTTTCATCTGATCTCTGCAGAAAATGTATAGCCTTGATACTATGAAGAGGAAATATCATTCTACACATCAATAGTAAAGACATTTCTACTGAGACAGTTATCACGTTTGATATATAAACTGTCACAGTAAGAAAAATATCACTTTTATTAAATGGATAAGACCAATATCTCACAGATGAAATTACATAATAAATCTTTTTTACTGTAATGAAGAGAGACTGAAAGAGATTGAATTGCAGATAAATAATGGCACACATGGTTACCATAACTTAACATATTCAAGTTTTACAAATGACGAAAGGCTCTACTCAACATCTTCATATAATCAGTCAATATCAACTAGATAAACCTATTTCCCATATACTGAAAAATATATATTTTTCTGGGGCTCAATTTCTGTGGGATTTCACTCCCATCCCCCCCCCATACCCCCATCCACCATCCCCCACCCCCACAACCGCTACCTCCAACCAATCACCACACCCAAAAAATTACTTTTTAATGGTCACATGATTTTATAGATAAATATAGCTCAATAAATCTAGTAATACTTATTTTAACAGTTTATGGTCATAGAAATTTGAGGATTTCCAGCACCTGAGAAATCAATGAAAATATTTCAATCATCTAAGAACTTTTATGATTTTACAGAAATATTTATAGATAAATACATAACGAACATGAATTTGATGTTCAGGGTACCTTGGTACAGGCCACAAATTATCCTGACTTCATAAGTGTTGTAAAGTAATGAATTCAAATGCTGTATAACACGATCAAAGCCTGTGACTGATGACAATGCTTTTAACAAGCAGCGAACACTGCCTCAAGAAAGAGAAAGGCTACAAGTCTAAGCTATGGAAAACAGAAAATACCTGACATTATCATAAAATATTTAAACTGATTTATTAGATAGATAAAAAACCTCAAAAACAACCCCGATATAAACTACCTGTAAAGGTAAAAAAACCAATCAACAACCAGAAGTATTAAAGTTGTGTGTAGGCAGGAGAGTTATAAATCCACAAATCATCGCCCACTTTGTACATTTAGTATCACTATGATGTAACAGACATGTATGTAACAGACATTTAAACCAGATAGAATGATGCTTAACTCTGACTGGAAATCTATGGATTACGGGTATCACTAGAATTAATGCATACTAAAATGGTGACACTAAAACGTCTTCCAGCAAGCCTATGCTTCAGTAATCTCCAAAGTGTGATAGAGGTTTATGTTAAGTAGTTGTTTCTTTACCTTCTAGGGAACATATCAATGTAAGAAAATACTATGTTATTTATACAGTCATCCTTACCATCATCAACATCGTTCCTGGCCGCTGCCTCCAGTAAAACTATTTTTCCAGGAAACCTAACTCTTGCCCGACTGCCACTCCTTCGTTGTTGATTCTTTGATTTTTTACGTTTTGAATCCTTTTCTAATTGTTTTTCGTAGTTTGCCCATTTTTTAAGTTGCTGGGATCTACGTTTTTTTGCATGTTTTAATCTATCCTGGGTGGCCATCTTCTCCACGGAGGCAATCTCCGCAATCAAATCCTGGTGATCTGTCATTTTGGAATGTGGATTTCTCTTGGCTATATGATAGGTACAATGGGGTACAACACAGTAGTCCTTCCAGTAGTCACAGGGTCATTCTGGGCAATCCACAAGGTCACTCGAGGTCAGCCAAGGTCATACAAGGTCAGCCAAGAGTATCCATGGTGACAGTAGTTATTCCACTACCTGCAAAGACAAAGAAACAAATTTTATTAACTTCAAGGAGAAGAACATTGACAGTTTTTATAATCATAAACAGAAAGATTCTAGTATATTTCACCTTAGTTCCCATATTTTCTTTCAAGTGGGAAGTTGAACCATATTATTCCAGATTTATGCATTTTGGTTTCTGTATACAGATATACTGAGAAAGTTGGACTCCGGTTTTAGTTTTAAGTGCTTTTGTTTCTTCAGTTTCTATATACACATTGGAACCTCAGTAGTCCTATGTTAATGTTATAATGAATAACAAACTGAAAACTTGCTATAAACATTATATAAGTGATGTTTCTATGTAGATAAACCCAACATGGTCTCCATGTAGACATGTCATTTGTATTTATAAAGGTAAACATTTCCAAACAAGAGGGAAAATTTATATACATTGTTTTTTTAGGTAACAAAAACATGCAAATGCGACAGAACACTTGTTATCGAGAAGCAATTTAACATTTCAGCTATAGGCAGTTTTGCAGGCAACCAACATAAAGTTTAGGAAGAAGGCTTGTAATATGACAATTAGGTATACACCAGGGTCTACTGAAACTACAAGAGCCAAAAATCACAACAGCCCAAGATCTACAGAGACTTCAAGTGCCAACTGGCAAACATTCATTAGACTCAAGCTAGGTCTACACAGGCTTTAAGTACTAAAAAATTGCAATGTCCATCACCTACAGAAACTTCAAGTCCCCAAATACTTAATGGGCACAAGGTCTAAAGCTAGTGCCAAAAAAATTGCTAGGCTCAAGATCTGTACAAACTTCAAGTTCCAAAAGCTCACTTTGCCCTTGCAAGTGCTAAAAACTCACCAGACAAAAAATCTATAAAATGTTAAAGCCAAAAACTCACTAGGCCAAAAGTCTGTAGAAATTGTAATTCCAAAAATTCCTGAAGGCCAAGGTCTATAAAACTGGGACCAATCTATAGACTGGATATGTGATCAACTTTAGAACAAAGTTACAGTACCATGACCTCAGCAGTCAGACCTCATGCTCACTACCAAGTAACCCTGACCAATCCATCATAACATTCTTATCAAGTTAAACTAGTCCTGTTTCCCTGATGTGAACTTTGGACTAATGTGGCTCAGGACACTTTATATGACAGGAGCAGTAAATGATGACTGTGAGGTAATTATGTTGTAGAGTGATTAATATATTGATCAATTACTACTATTTCTATTTATGGTTGAAATCATTACTAAAAGAAGCATTTTATGTTTTTATGATAAATCAAAATATCAATTTATGAAACAAATTTTGTACTGATCCATACATCATTAAAATAGCACTATAACTCATCTTTCATACTTTAAATCATACAGATTTTAGGGTATAATTTTTACTAAAGAACAGCAAAAAGTTTAACAGAAAGGATTTCCATGTAAACTGCCAATTCGTAAACACTCAATTATGCAAATTAGCTGTCTCCAGGTAGTTTTAATCATCAAAACTGCCACCAAGTATCCCTGTTGGGTTGTTCCCACTAATGGCCTCTAAATAACCCGTCACACAACTAATTAAAGAAAGGCTATTCCATTAAATGAACTTCGCTAATTGCCAAATCCTCTATAATGGCTATTTCATCTGCTGGATGGGAACCCGAACTGGAATTCCCAATACACAAAATAGATATCCCGTAAGACAGTCAGTAAATGACTGTGAGGTCATATTATAAGTATGCATGTAAATGCAAAATCAGCAGCCGTCCTTGTGTGTAATGCATACCAAGTAGCCATAAGTACAAGAAAAGGTCATAGTTACCATCATATCTGTAGTATATTACAGCACCATTAGTGGTTGTTAGTGGTGGTCCTTACACATTTAACCCTCACAGCAATTAACACAGCAGTAGTCAAGACCACTAATCACTGTCGCCTGCTGACGAGGATGAGGATGTGTAGCTCAAGAATTCTTATAATTTGTTTCTCTCTTTTTGTTCTGACATTTTTTTCTGAATGCCATGATGGAGACTATATCCCAACATCGCAGTAACTTATAGCGCTTCAGAGAGACAGGTACAATAATTTATCACTTTTATGTAACTTTATCACCACATGACTTCTGTGTGATTCAGTGAATACAGCAGTTGGCCGCAATAAAATGCAACTAGAAAATGTCTGTTAAGTCACGAATGCCCCATCTCCTTTGTCCTGCAAAACTGTATCAGTGTGTTACAAGTTTGTATAGACAGTAACTGTAACTGATACAAGGTATTGTTGTAGTTAACCTTTGTATAAAGTCTGATCAAATCCTTGAAGAAGTAGAATAACTAGATGATGAAAGCAATGGGACTAGACAGGGTTGGAAAGGACACAGGTAACTCTATATGCCCCTTGCTACCCTCCTCTTCCCCCCAAAAAGGCAAGGCATTAAAAGGTTGGAGCAATAGAACTTCAACACATTCTCAATACTGAAGGCAAAATTAATCACATTTTCATAATGGAGCTCAACATAGCACATTACTAAGAGTCAGTGATGGAGCTCAACTCAGCACTTTCACAAGTGTCAGTTATAGAATTAAACACAGCACATCACAAAGAGTCAGAGATTGGGCTCTACCCAGCACTATCACAGAGTGTCAGTGATGGAGTGTGACCCAGCACTATCACAGAGTGTCAGTGATGGAGCTCTACCTAGCACTATCACAGAGTGTCAGTGATAGAGTGTGACCCAGCACTATCACAGAGTGTCAGTGATGGAGCTATACCTAGCACTATCACAGAGTGTCAGTGATAGAGTGTGACCCAGCACTATCACAGAGTGTCAGTGATGGAGCTATACCCAGCACTATCACAGAGTGTCAGTGATAGAGTGTGACCCAGCACTATCACAGAGTGTCAGTGATGGAGCTATACCCAGCACTATCACAGAGTGTCAGTGATGGAGCTATACCCAGCACTATCACAGAGTGTCAGTGATAGAGCTCTACCCAGCACTATCACAGAGTGTCAGTGATGCAGCTCAACCCAGCACTATCACGAAGAGTCAGTGATGGAGTGTAACCCAGAACTATCACAGAGTGTCAGATCCTGTACTTTCACAAAGATTCAGTGATGGAGCTCAACTCAGCACTATCACGAAGTGTTAGAGGTGGAGCTTTACCCAGCACTATCGTTAAGAGTTAGAGATGGAGCTTGATCCAGCACTATCGCAGAGTGTCAGTGATGGAGCTGAGGCTGACATGAAAATTCTCAAAGTCAAGTCAGAGTTACTACCATGATGCTCTGTAGCATTATTGCTGCAAATAAATCTAACGATATTGATTGAATTACAATAAAATGACTGGCACGCAGTTAAAATGGTAATATATAAGTGTAAGGGGGAACAGCACATCAAAGTCTCCGTAGATACGATTCCATTTCCAACAAGGATATTATCATATAACTAGTAAAGATTTAAATATCATTTAATATCAATGTGTAAGTGTCCGTCTGTGTTGTGTCTATATCAATATAGATCTGAGAAATCCTGACAGTTCAATTTACCATTATTCCAATGTATCTCCAGCAACAAGGAATTATGAAAGACAATTCTTTTATATAAGTTACTAGTAAGATTGGACGGAAATACCTTTAAAATGAATTGAAATCTGACTCCTTTCATGACACCTTGGAAAATAAAGTATGATGCAGATGGTTTCAGCAAGTGCTTCAGATATTCTAGTAAAATTTCAAACTTACACTTTTATATGCATAAATGTGTAATCAAATTTTATCATCACAACTTTTTTCAAAGTCTAAAGAGCATATATGTGGTAATATCACTCACTTTTCTGGGAAAATATTTCCTGTGTGTTGCTATGACTACCAGTGACACAGAAAATTACATTTCACCTGTCCTCATTTTTAGGATGATTTTCATTCACTTACAAAATGCAGAGACAAACATTTTATGGTGCTAAAGTCTTGTTTTCTATCAGAACTTTTCGTAATTGAACATGAAATCTGACCATCCTTGACCACTTATGATTGAAATACTCACAACGATAAAGTTCCTTTCACCACAAGTCTGATCAATAGGATGTACATATATAAAAAAAGAAAGTTTAACTCTGGTATAAGACAATACACTGTCTCTAGACCTCAGTTTTAAATAATGCCCATTAGTAGTAAATCCCTTTGCATTTTTCTGCAAATATTTTCACTGTATTTTTGCTTTTCCCAAATAGTATGTAATTAAATTCCGATATGTTCACATATAAAGTCAATTACATCAATTCTGTAGGGGAGACTGAAGCCTTATGTTAAAGGTATACATTACAATCCTATTTAATAAGAAGCTTGTTAAAATACGTATCAAAGGATCAGATGGAATAACCCATAGGTCTTCTTAACCTTTACCTAGCATCCTTCAATAAGGTATGTTGTGTATACAAACATGGTCTGTCAACAGGGTGTACAGTACTATAACACACAAATTGTCTGTCAATAGGGTGTACAGTAATATAACACACAAATTGTCTGTCAATAGGGTGTACAGGACTAAAACACAAAATTCTCTGTCAATAGAGTGTACAGTACTATAACACAAAATTCTCTGTCAATAGGGTGTACAGTAATATAACACACAAATTGTCTGTCAATAGGGTGTACAGGACTATAACACACAAATTGTCTGTCAATAGGGTGTACAGTAATATAACACACAAATTGTCTGTCAATAGGGTGTACAGGACTAAAACACAAAATTCTCTGTCAATAGAGTGTACAGTACTATAACACAAAATTCTCTGTCAATAGGGTGTACAGTAATATAACACACAAATTGTCTGTCAATAGGGTGTACAGGACT